GGAACAGCAGACCAAAAACAAAAAGCAATGGCCAGCTAAGAGCATGCGCAGGGGAACGTGTGGACCAATAGGGAAGAGCCAGATGGGGCAGACAGGAGAGGAGAACACTGGGATTAATTAACAGTGGAAGGGGCTGATGAGATACATGCTGCCATTTGGAGGACAGATGGAGATGCATGGAAACTACTCGTAAGTAGTCACCACACAAATGTGTGAACACAGGACACAAGGTGTGATACCATGCTGTGCAGCAACCAGGCGGCTTGCTGTAGTGTTATGTGTGAACACACCCATTAACTCTTCCCCACCTTTTCACAGCTTTTTTCAGAGTACTTACTGCTGTAGTTACTGTGCTTCCCTGACAGTTCTAAAAAAAAAAAAAAAGACAGAGATGAGGTTGTAGGGTTATACAAGGGTTCCTTAACCCTTAAATAACTCCTGCCAGTTTGGTCTACATAATGCAAGAAACTGAGATCAAGGGTTATAAATTCTCAAGGCCAGTTGGCATGTGCCTCAACTCCTCAAGGGTACATTAATGAATAATGGACTGTCACACCATGAGAACTGGTCTTCTGTGTGGCATTTTTAGGGAAGGTCCAACATAGGGAAGTTTACTTCCTCCAGAGCAGCTGCACAGGGATCTAACCCGCTACCCACAGAAATGAACTGTCATCAATGTTGTTGTTATGCTGTTATTGAAATGCTCACTGGTGTTGTATTCTGCATTATGTATGGCTGTTCCTATTTGTGTATTGTAAAATACATTGACAACAAGCAGACTGAAGTCTAGTCTAATCTCACTTTTCACTTCATCATTACATCAGTAGCGCCCTACTGATGTAATTAACAGTAGCACTGTTAATTCAGTGACAACGTTAACCGGAGACCTTATCCAGACAATGCAAAAGTAATGGGCTCCCTGTTTTAGAAAACATACGACAATGACAACTCCTATGACAACTCTCACAGATCTTCTGATGCAGTATTTGGCATTTACCTTGCGCTGTTTTGTGTATGTTAGCGAGAGTTTACATTTGGGGTACCAAAGTTGTTTTAACGCGACTGCCAAATCCAATTTCAGGGAAAGATGGGGGAGGGGAAGGAACACATTCCAGAAGTGGGCAAGCCAAAAGTCACAGGGCAGAGCCAAAATGCCAGCGTAGTTTAGCTCAAAGTTCTCACAGCCAATAAGTTAACTAAACGTGAGGGAAGCAAAAACTGGGAAAGCACTCAAAAATCTGGAGCAGGGAGCAGGAATCAGAGGTGATATGAAACCTCAGATGGTCTGACTGGGATGGCCAAATTTAGCTCCAGGGCCTGAGATCCTACACTTTGATTTACAACAGAAAATCCCATTAGTTCTTGAAATTCCTACGCAGGTGATTTTATTAAGATCATTCTGAGCAATGCCATTTGCTGGATGAACCCTCACCAATATCATCTGCTCCAAGTGGGAGGGATGAGGGAGGAAAGAGGCTGCACAACTCTGTACTTATGGTCTTCTTCCCCCCCACCCCCAATTTCATAAATGACAATAAAAATGTACATTTTGGTTTCCTTGTAGTCTCAACATTCATGTTTTATAGTTGAAAATGAATGTTTGAGTTTAAACAGTGATAGGACACATGAAATAGAATTCCGAAAGATTGCTTGACAAGAGGCTATGACTAGGTTGACTCAGCTGCATTTCACCATGACACACAGCATATAGTACTCATGCAACATCTGGAAGTGGCTTCAGCAAATGCAAACAAATGGGATAGAAGTTTTAGTTGATTTGCCCACCTATCTGACATTCAGGGAAAGATTCTCTAATGTTGCTGGAGGAGCAAGAGATCTGGACATTCTGAAATAACCTGTAATACTCAGCACAGACTTATTTGAAAGCTGAAGGGAATATACAAGCACATGTATATATTTTAGGGCCAGAAGGAAAATAACCACCTCATTGTGTAAGCCCAAGGGGTGGGGGGTTAGACTTTTTCTGAAACAAAAGTTTTTAGCAGGCCATACTGATTTTGAACCAGATGATATTTTAATAGTTAGTTTGCTGTATGCCAAAAGCACCCTGTGATTTCAAAATACTCTGTATATTATGTTGGAGAGGGGATAAGTGTTCAAAAAAGGACTGCACTAGCACAAGCCTAAGCACTTCTTCAGATCTCAGCTCATCTCCTGGATTGGTGTAGGTCTGAGTTATATCAAGAACAGCAGTTATCATGGTTCTTCCACAGGCTCCTACTATTGCTCAAAATTCATGTGTCATTCAGTACACAGTAGTGAAACATGAACGCCTGGCAGGAAAGCAAGGACAGGTTTATCAGATTTTATGGAGGGCGATAGTCCTATGTCTGTAACCATTGCACAAAAGGGAGTATCCTAGCACGCATAATTTTGCACAGGAAACTTCCTTCCAGTATTCCCAGCTTTCCTCAGCTTGGTGCCCCTCCAGATGTTTTGACCCAGCTTCAGACATCATAGTCAATGATTAGGACAGCTGGGAATTGTAGTCCAAAATATCTAGGAGACACATGGTCAAGGGCAACTGCACTACAACCATTAAGGATGCAAAGAAAGTGTGTCCCACAGCACATCTGCCAGCTCCAGCAAAGACTGAAGGGGAATGGCAAGGTCCAGATTAGTAAGGCGGAAACAACAGGTGCCACAGGCAAAACTTTAACTGGATGCCACAAAGCTGCCAAACCTAGACAGTCCCGAGCCTAGGGAAATAACACAACATTACCAAAACTATTTTGCCCACACCTCTATTTTTACATCACTTTTAACACTTCAAAGAGGCACAGATCGACATCCGTGGCAAAAAGAGCACATGCTGATGTCTCTCTGCACAACACTTCCCCAAAACACACACCGGCCCAAACTTAGAAAGATGTAGACACAGAGCTGGGGGCGCTGATGGACGTGATCCCCTTCACCCGACGAGGGCTTACCGATGCTCCTAATTCCCTTACCCGCCCCACTATCACTGGCACCAAAAACGCTTTCTGAATAGTAGCATCTAACCCGCCCCCTGCGCAGCTTTTCCGTCTGAAACTGCATTCTTCCCCACTCCAATGGTTCTGAACTATCACCTCCATCATTCCCGACCACTGGCCGTGGCGCCTGGGGCTAACGGGAACTGTAGTCCCAAAGAACCGAAGCGCGCCCGAGTTCCGGGAACGGCTCGCGGAAAGCCTTCCTGGAGAAGCCCGAACCCCTCGCCGCCTCCAGTGGTTCAGCCCTCCGCCCCACCCAGAGCTCCCGCCGCGCCTGCCCTCCGGGTCACCCCCCTCGGGCTCCGCCCAGCAGCTTCAGACCCACCCCAGAGCCCCCGAGCGCCTCCAGCCGAGCCACAACTTCTCGCCCCACCCAGTGCGCCTCTCGGCAGCCTCCCCACGGGCTGCCCAGCAGGACCGAGCCCGGCCGCCGCCCCCAGCACCCCGGGCGCACTTACATCTGGTACTCGTCTATCGCCTCCACGAGCTGCCCCCAGGAGTCGAAGTCGGTCCCCTTCCTGAAGCTGGCGCCCCAGCGCTGCAAGAGGCTCCGGGCCGCTTCCGACATGGTCCCAGCGCTGCTAGGGCACCATTATCACCCCGGGGCCGTGCCGGGGAGTGGGGCGGAGGGAGGGAAGGAGGGCTGCGCCGGGCAACCGCCGCTCCGTCCAGCCCAGCAATACCGCTACTCAGTCACCGACCAAGCCCATCTGCCATCGCAACCAAACCTGGAGGCCGCCTCTGGACAGCCTCGCCCCTCCCCGTCCTCATCATGTTCGGTTGTACCAGAACCAACCCTCCCCCTTTTTCCTTCCAGGCGCAACGAAACCAGAGCCTGCGGCGGCACGGTCAGCTCCCGATGGAGGGGTGTGGTCATAGACCTAAAACGTATAGACTGACAAAGCCAGTTTGAGACACACTTCGGGGTGCTTTGGACGACGGGATTCCTTGTCCCGCCTCCTCTGCGATGTAAAAGGAATAGCTGCCCTCACGGGGAAAATGCAGGTCCTTTATTTAAGATGTAATCCAAGGCATTCTTACTTGGGAGTAAGTCTCGGTGAACTCAGTAGAATTTAGTTCTGAACAGAGAGGAATAGGAGTGAACTGGCACCGAAGTTGAGGTAGGGCAATCAGCGTGCCCTGCCACTCAGAGAGGAAAAAGAAAAAAAAAGTAGGAAGAGAGGAATTCCTGCTCAAATTCCGATTTTATTTCGTGTGAAAAAATATGTATTTACTTCGAAAAGCATGCTTTAAAATGTGGTGTAATTGCAAGCGCAGTTCGACATTATTTTATATTGTTAGTTAGCACATAGTGGCGTGGGACAGCCTTCCAGTGTAGATCAGTGTCATTCACATATTGCGGTGTGCTTGGGAAAGTGGCGCTCAGAAAATGAGGGCAGCTTACGAGGATTATGCAAGGTAGTGATTATCTGTAAGGAACACGGGGGAACTCCTCTGTCAATGGGGCTTCTTATCCATGGCAGCTGTTATCCCGAGTTTTACAGAAGCTATGGCGCAGAATTCCACCCACCCCATTGGTTCGCAGTCATGGATAGCTCCTATAAAGCTCAAAATAAAATATATTCTGGATAAGGAGCCTAATTAAGATAGGAGACCCCTGCCTCTCTTGCGAATAATCACTACCTTGTAGGATTGTTGTAAGTTGTCCGCATTGTCTGAGCATCCTGTAAAACTCAGAACAAAAGCTGCAATGGATAAGAAGCTCCACTGACATAAGAGTCACCAGTCTCCCATGATTAGCCCGTATATATTTGCATCCTCCTCCGACGGTTAGCGTTCCGTTCACTTTCCTGCAAGCTCTCGTTCTTTCGTACCCCTCACGTATAAACGCTCGAGTTCGTATGAGATGCCAGAGTGGTGGTTGCGACTATCTATTATTTCTATCTCTATGACCAAATGCGCCGACTAACCAATGCAAAGATCTAGGACAGGGCACCATAGAGCCATGGGTCAGAGTGGCCGCCCGCTTCGCCTTATGTTCCTTACCCTGCCTATGGCGACGTTCAAATGGAAACTGGAAGCATCCTCTTTGAGTTGACTCCTAATGTCTGCACTTTCTCCTGCAGTTTTCGGGCCGCCGGATTTTATTCAGAGATAGAAGTAGCTGCCTACGATAAGTTAGGCAGAGGATTCTTCAGGTGCCATAGTTAGCCACGCAGCCGACACGCACGGCTTCTGTGATGTTCGCAACTGAATTACTTCCCGGTTCTTGCCTGGGTAATGGAAAACACGTGATCTTCGGCTGCTGGAACTGTCTTCAGAGTTAAGAAGCGTCTGTCTTGGAACGCCATCCTGCAAAAGTCAGCGTGTGCATGTTTGAGCCTCACATTTCTCTTAACTGGTTCTTGGGGATCTAGTCAACTTTGACTCTCTGGAGTGACGAATCATCTGTGGCAGGTAGGTTATCTAAAACACCTTTAAATCTGAGGGTTTATAAAGATTTTCCTCACTATACAGCCCCTAACTTATGAATCCCACCTTCTCCATCATTCTCTTGGTCAATCTTAGTGTTTCCACAGCCTAATATTGCATGTACATTGTGTATGCATGGAATAACTGTCCGATCCATGCAGAGACAGGATTTAGGCTGGCATCAGGCTGTAAGAGTGTGCATGGTTTCAGTCTTATTTTGTAGGAAATCTCTTATGAATGGAAGAGCATAGGGAAAGATAACTTCCTTACAATGAGGAAGCCCATTCTACTTCTGCTTAATTGCTCCCAAAGCTTTATTTTGCATATCCTTGCCTGAATACTATCAGCTAGAATACAGCAGGCTTCTCAAATTGCTGGGCATTTTGCTGATCCATCTCCTGGCCCACCCCTTTAAAGACATTGCCTGTTGTCACTTATCCACTATTAGGTAGGCTGTGTGATCCACTTGGTGAAGATGGAGAAGTGTTGACTTCATGAAGGAAGCCACAGCCTTGAGTTTACAGGAACTGAGCAGGGCTGTTGTGGACAGGTCATTTCATTCAAAGGGTCACCACAAACCAGAGTATTTGACAGCACATAACAACAAAGAAGCTGCATATGACAATTCTATTAAAGTTCATCAGCTTGATCTATGAAAAGAAGTCCTTGATTTAAAAAGCAACAAAGGACCCCTGTGGTATTTTAAAGACTAGCCAATTTATTCTGGCATAAGCATTCATAGTCCACTTCTCTGCCCTCCCCCCACCCTACACCCAAGTTTACATTTATGATATAGCCAACCATGAGATTTCCTTCCTAGTAAACATGCTAATGTCCACAGCAGAAGACATCATGGCCACAATCCTATGTGCAGTTTCCTGGGAGTAAGCTTCAAGCAATTAATTGGAACATACTTCTGAGTAGATGTGTTTAGGATCATGGAGTGCCACTATGGACTGGAAATAAATGTCACTGATAGACCATTAACACAAGTGGAAGACTTGTCCAATTCGCATATTTATTTATCTGGAATTTTTGTATGCTGTCCCATTCGCATAAGCCTCGGGACGGCTTCCAACATCATAAATAAATACATATAAAATACATACATATAAAATCTGGAAACATCCTGGCTCAATATGATAAAACCAATAAATAAAATCAATAATTATTCAAATATCATTTGAATAAAAAGGTCTTGGCCTGGCGCCAAAAAACGACGACGGTGCCAGGCGGACCTCTCTGGGGAGCACATTCCATAAGTGGGGTGCCACCACAGAGAAAGCCCTCCTCTGGGTACTCACCCTTCTAATATCTTTCACGGAGGGTTCCCAGAGTAGGGCCTCTGCCGCTGATCTCAAGGGGCGGGCGGGCAAATACGGACTTAGGCATTCCTTTAGATATTTGATCATGCTGCTTCCCCCAAAACTCCATAGTATGTTCTGCTGTGCTTATGCCCCAGGAACCGTCGCAACCGTGGTGTAGTCCCGGTTTTGTCTGCCTGGAATGTTTGCAGTGGTGGCAGTGTTAATAGTAGGGACAAGAGACCAATGACGTCTGCTCGCTTTCTCTTGAGATAGACTGTGGAGCCCATTAGAGGCTTTAGCCACAGTCCATTAAGTTGCCTCATTTAGTATACTGAATGGGACTAAGTTGGAGCAAGCGAGTGTGGCCACCCTCCCATGTGTAAGGCCGTTTGTGGAAAGGCCGTTCTTGTTGGGTTGCAAGAAGGAGTAATGAATATCCGAAGTGCCAGGCCGGGACCTAATCCAAAGTGTAACCAGCCCAGCAGGCTGTTTCCCCCTCCGCTCCCCTCCGCTGTTGTTCCCCAGCTGTGTGGCGATCATCTTGCATTGGTTCCTCCTCTTGCACAGCCTCGTTCCTCCAGCCTCTCTCCTATTCATGGTGGGGGTGGGGGGAGAAGTAACTCTGGAGGAGTCCCTAGGAGAGAAAGCGGGTGGGAAGAGGTGCTTAAGTGCTCGGGTGGGTTAAAGCTTACTAAAGCTGCCACGCTCCCTCCCTTACTTCGGGGCAATCTGCAGACCTCGCAAGTGAACGCGGCCAAGCTAGAAACGGTGCGGCTCCGACAACCTGCCAGTCGCCTGTGAGCTGTGGGGGCAGGAAGGCCGGCGTGACTAACCAGCAACGCAATCTTGAGGCGCGTCGACTAAGAAGGAAACTCTGCGGGGGCCAGTGGGGTTTCTTTCCTGGGCTTGCAGCCCGCGAGCGGAGGGATGCGAGCGGGAGGCCTGCAGAGGTGCTCACCAGGCTGCTTGCCCCGCGCACCTGGGGGAGCGAGGAGGGGGAGCGGATCTGCTCCGCGCACGATCCCGGCTGCTTTCGCAGCGCGGCCATTTCGCGCGCCGTAGCAACGGGCGGAAGTGGAGGCGTTGTAGGTGCGCCTTCGTACCTTCCCGGCTGTCGGCGCCTCCACGCGTTAATTATAGCATTGCTTTTCCTCCTCCACCCCCAGCAGGAAGCGGCTACCGCAGCAGCGGCTGCAGCAGGGGAACCTCTTTGGAGAAGGAGAGGGAAGGTAAACAGAGCAGCCCCTCCCTGGGGAGAGGAGACAATACCGGGTGGGGGCTTTGGCCAGCGGCCTGGGCCGCCTTCTGGGTCCGTTGGGGTAGCCTTGTTTACACAGGAGGGGCGGTGGCTGTGGCCTTTTTTTTTTAACTTTCTGGCCTGATTGTGCATTTGCGTAGAGCGAGGAGAGAACGAGGGGCAGAGGTTACCCTTGGCAGGGCTTAAAGTGAGGACCTGTGAAGTCGAAATGGGCACAGCAGGGACCCCGAGCATGGACAAAGGTTTCATTGTTGGTTTTAAAAAATGCCGTGTGTTAAGCGAAAGATGGTAGCCCTATATGAAAAAGCACTGTTTGGTTGTTCTTCACTGCTAAATTGCACGCGGTTTGGGCTCACGTGATAGATAGGAGACTTGGGGTTGTTGTGATACTGGAGGGAGAGACACAATGAATGCTTTTATTTCCTCAGCCTATAGTGCTCTAGTTTGGGCCTGAGGCAGACAATTAATCCCTGAAATCTGCTACAGTGCATGGGAGAGAAGATGATGCTCCCCTTCTCATGCTGTGTGAGAAACTGAGGTTGCAGCGCACATCTTCAGTGCATCTAACCTCGTCCATTAAACTGTTAGTTTCACAATGCACGTAGTGCTTGACTCAGTTGACAATGTGCTTGACTTGTGTAAGAGTTATCTAGAACTGTTCCTCAAGGAACCTATACTTTTAGGACTGTGAAAAAAGAAATGGCTTGGGTATAACAGTGAAATTAACAGAACTCCCCAAATCCAGACCTTCAGCTTCCTGCTTTTTATCTAAAATATTAGGACAGGAGCCTATAACAGGGATTGGCCAGACTTGCTCAATGGAAGAACCATATTTAAGATGTTTGAGAGCCACACGACATGCACAAGTATTTATTATTATTATGATTTTATGAAAGTACATACTTGCTTTTCAGTGTATGGGATTTTTAATGTGCATAATAAGACACATAGATACCTGGATCACTAACTGGGATGCAACTGGTGCTGAAGAAATTGACCTTTAGAAACAAGAACTGCTCAAAATGTCATATTAACATAAAATAACAGGGTTTTTTTTTTAAACTATTGTCGCAGGCAAAATCCGGGAAATTATCATTTAGTGAAAAGTGCTGAGATTTCTTTGTTAGGATGTGGCCTTCAAGTTAGCATTCTATCAGGAACCTTTGAAGGAGTTTGCAGAAGGGACAAGCAGCATTAGGAGAGCGATCTTCTGGGACTATCACATAAACAACATGTATTCTCTTTGGAGCTGCCAGTGGTCCCCACTCATTCCATATTCAGGAAGGGGGTCAAGACACCGCTTTCAAAGTTGGCTTTTTAAAGCCACCAGGAGCAGCGCAGGGCAGGCTCTCGTGAGGCTCTGGAAGAGAGTGGTTTGGGCCAGTGGCCTTTTGAGAGCTCATCCCAGTGTGCCTCGCCTGCTCTTGTGGTTGAGTGCAAAGGCACTTTAGCAGTTCTACCTCCACCGCTGCTCCAGGTGTTCAATCCAGTGGTGCTGCTGGAGGCACTGGTGGCAGCGGCAGTTATTCTGGCAGTGGTGGCATTTTTTTCAGTGTCTTCAGCAGCAGCTGCCTCTGTTGTGGCCCTACTGCTGGTGAAGAAGCCAAAGATGGAGTAGGTGGTACTTTCAGCCCACTTCCCTTCCCACCCAGTCACCCTGTGGTCACTCTCGAAGGCCTGAAAGATCAACTTATGGACAGCCTGGATCTATTTCAAGTTCAGCTTCTTTACTGGGGGTATGGCCACAGCTGAGGCAACTACCACTGAAGACACCAAGGAAATGTTGCTGCCACCAGAATAATGGCTGCTGCTGCCTCCCATAGCACCACTGGAAGAAGCACCAAAGCACCTTTGTGCTTGTCAGCAGGAGCTGGCAGGGCATGGTGGGGTGAGCTCTCTCAATGCTCACTCTCTCGAGAGCAGAATGGATGGTGGCCTTGGAAAAGCTCAGCAAAATTATGCCCATGCCATCGCTGGGATCCAGACCGGGGGACAGGATGGGACAGGGGGATTCTGAGCTCTCTGAGAGCCACAAAATAAACCTGAAGAACTTCATGTGGCTCCTGAGCCTCAGCTTGGCTACCCCTGGCCTATATGTTGAAGTGGCCCCTTGGTTATTGTGACAGCCATGAAGGCTGCAGCATTCCCCTGGGATTTAGCCTTCGGCTGTAGATTTGGCTTTTCCTCCTCCTCTCTAAGTCTGGGTTTAGTTTAAATATGGTCTCCCTGCTTGAGTGTGGCTGCAGGAGCTATAGGTTCCTGCTGGGCTTTCTCTCTCAAAGTTAGCTGTGAAGTATACATTTGCAAAGAAGCGCTTACCCTTCTGCAGTTTCTCTTCTTGCTATGCCCCTGTCTTGGCTGCAGCAGCTAGTAATGAGTTTTGGGTGATTACCTGGACCAATTAATATTGATATAAGGAAACCAGTAAATAGCACTTATCTTCTCCTTGCCCACTTACTTAATTCACTTTAATGCTGCTTTGTCACAGGGTTCCTTGTACTCAAAGTTGATCCTTGCTGAGCCATATGCTTTGACATACACAGGCCGCATAATTCCCATTTACTGTGTTTATGCTTATGCTTGAAAAATATTAAAATATTTTGTGTGACCTTTATTTCATAGATATATAGAAACCACCCCCTTCTCTCTGCATTGCTCCCCTTTCTCTGCCATACTGTTCATCAGCTTCTCTTTGGGGAATTATGTCTCATAATTCTGCTGTATATACATATTAGGGAGGTTTACCTCAGAATATCATTTTAGGGATAAAAGTTGAGCTGATAGCAAAAGGTACATACGTTAGAATAGTTTAAAACCATTATAGTTTATCTGCCACAGAAGGAAAAGGTGAATGAAAAAAGAGGATAGATGCCCAGAGGGTACAATCCTATACATGTTTAGGCAGACAAAAAGCCCTACAACTCCCAGCATAGCTCACCCCACATGGCAAACTGTAGGACTTAGTGATTTTGTACATTTTTACTTTTTCCCTTTCTTAAACTTTGTTTCATTGTGTTTCATTGCCTTATGAATGATAGTTGTCTGCCCTTTTCAACAATCCAAAATCATACAAAGAAAAAATGGTTAATGCAGTGGCTTAGGTCCTGCAAGCCCTAGAACTTGGCACCAAAGTTGCTTTGGTTGATCAATGACCAATATTCAACATTTCCATTAATCAGTCCATTGTATTATAATTACAATTCTTTTTTAAGGATCTGAACTAATAAGGGTAAGTAGTCTAACAAATATATCAGCATTAAGTAGTAATTGTAGCTATAGTAGTCAATTTCAGAAAGATGGTCATTTCCAGAATTTATTATTTTCATAAAGCAGGGCTGTGGTCACACAATGAGAAACCATGCGTGGGATTGCTTGTTGTTATATATGAATGCAGGAAGGATGGTGAAGCATGGCTGCTGGTCGCATCCACCAGACATGCAGCACTTGAAAATTCAGCATGCGGGAGGTGGGGGAGCATCAGGTACATATGCAGCAAGGAGGGGAAAAGGTGTGGGTGGGCGTGCTCGTGCATGGGCATGGAATGTGGCATCTGCAGGGAGCGCGGCTCTGTTCCTCCCATAAAGCAGCTGTCCTACTATACTGAGTAGATGGTGGTTCCACAGAGCAGCTGGCCAAAAAAAAAGTGGGGGCTGGCTAGGAACACACTGAGGGGAGCATGTGAGCCAATGGGTGAGGCAGGTGAGGCAGGCAGGAGCAGTGCACACTGGGATTCATTCCTAGCTGCCGGGGCTGATGGGACACATGCCACAATTTGCAGGGAAGGTGGGGACTTGTGGAAACCAGGAGCATACATTTATTTATTTATTTAAACATTTCTATGCCGCCCCATTCGCCGAAGCCTCTGGGCGGCTCACAACATAAATAACATACAAAAATAACAATATAAAAATAACAATATAAAATAAATATTTACCATATGAATGTGTGAACACAGGACACAAGGCAAGATATCATGCTGCATGGAAACAATGTGGCTTGGTTTAGTGTTTTGTGTGAACATAGCCTGAATGTTAGACACAAAAGCATGCTAGAGCAGATCTTGGGCTGTAGTTCCATGAACTTAAAGTGAAGTTGCCTCGGCCTTTTGTGTGATGGATAAGACAAGATGCTTTTCAGTTTAAAATCAGCATGGCTGTGGTAGAAATTTCAAGGACAATTCCAGTTGCATATGTAATTTTTTCTGTACAAACACAGCCCTTGTTTATTTTTTTTACAAATAGGAAAAGTTTCAATTGTATCATTATTTGCAAAATAAGCTTATGCTTATTTATTCCAAAGGACCCTGCTTATTAGATGATCATTAGTATTTATGCTGTGTATATTATGCAGAATCTGTCAACTTAAATAAAACACAGTTTTGAGTTCATAAGAATCAGTGCAAGTTTCTTAACTTTCTATAAATCAGCTTATGCATTAAAAAGGCACTTTCCATGATTAAAGTTGACTGAGACAACTTTTCCAAGAAATGAGTAGCTTAGTTCTTCTGTCTTTGCAGAAGATGGGCAGAGTGTGTGTTTGTGTGAAATGGTAGTAATAGATTAGGAGAGTTAAGATGGCTAGGATAAGTGGTTAGGATAGGTACAGTGGGATTTTTAACAAAAAAAAAAAACCCTTGATTTAAATATTAGTTTAATTATACCATAGTTCCCTTCTGCTAAAAAATATTAGTTCATTATTCTGGTCCAGAAAAGAACTACTGAAGTTTTCCATGTCTTTATTGTGGATTAAGCTTGTGAAAAAATTGAAAGTTTTAAAAAATATATTATCTTCTTTTTTAACGTAACAAATCTGTTCATGTATGAGTGGCTGTAAAACAAAAATGTATCTGCCTTGAATTAACAAGTTTAAATAGTACTAGCAAGTATTTCTGACATGGAACCAAAACCTTGTTATGGACTATACTGACCTCACAAATGCAAGTTAATAATGGCCCCATTGATAGAAATTCTGAGTAGCAAATCTATTTGATGTGGCTGTATGAGTGCCATGCACTTCTTGCCTCTTGAAAGAGGTTTTTTGATAACTAACCAGTGAAGTTAAGGTCATTGTACTCATTTCAAATAAAGCACTGCAATATATTTAGTTTATGAGAGCTAGAACAGATACAACATTTTAAGAAAACTATATAGATTTGCAAATGTATAATGTGCTGAAATTATATTAATCTCATTCATTCCTGTAATATCTTTCTGTTGCAGTATTCATGTATTTAAAGTCAATCATTTCAGTGCTGACCATCACATGTGATACTGTCTTTGTGCAATAGTATGTTATACAGTACAGTTCTGTATGTATTTTCCCAGAAATAAGGCCTACTATATTTAATAGTACACTCCCCAGTAAACATGTCTAGAATTGTAGCCTTTTTCTTGTATTGTAGAGTTGTTTTCTCTCCCTGTGTGGTGAATGGAGTTATTTTCAAGCAATTAGATGTGTCCTTTTTTTTTTGCTTTTGTGTTTACATATGTAATATATAACTTTCCTTCTTTGCTATTTTAGGCTTCTAATCCTGCTGAGAGCTTTCAAAAGAAATGACTCACTGGTTTCATCGAAACCCTTTAAAGGCTACCGCTCCTGTCACATTCAATTACTATGGGGTAGCTACTACTCCAGCTGCATCAAAGATTTGCAAGTAAGTAATTCTAACACTGTGTGAACATACAAACATATATTTTCAAGTAGTAATATAAGAGACAACAGTACTATTGAAGGAAGTGTCTGTCTTTGAATTGTGTCTTTGGCTGTTTGTGGGTTTTTTTAATGCAGTGATATAAGGTCATCAAGAACACGACTCCTGGACCTTTTTACAGATTTGAGCTGCAATTCTGATATGATGAAAAATGCAACTGATTCCTATTTTTCACTTTTGAAAGGTAAGAGATTAACATATTTAGCTTAATTGCTCTGTTTATTGATAACTTCTTTAAATAAAAATAGGTCCCAGAAGCCTCTGAAAACTTTGTGGTAGGCACTTTGGAGCACAGATTCTTTGTTCCATGCCTGTAGAGGGCTTGAAGTAAATACAACAGTCTGAATATGATATTAGGGGATATCAATGAGCCGTATTAATTCAGTGACCTAGTTTGCATGACACAACAGTCCACCATGACTAAATTTACTTGATGTGTACTTGTGGGAGCTGGTGGAACTGGGGTCAGACTAGATGGCCTGGGAGGCCCCTTCCGACTCACTCTATGTTGTGCTAAGTACCTGCAGCCTTGTTGTGTCATGTTAATGCAGGCAGCAGGGATTAGTTGAGATTAAATAACAACTCATGACATGTTTTAGTGTTATTTAAGGTTTTTCTAACCCTTAAACAACTACTATCTGGGTTTGCATGACACAATAAGCTGGGTACTCATTGGGCTTTATGCAAAAATTGTGCCTGTAGACAAGTGTTATTACATGACAGTTCCTGCTGGTAAATTAAGCCACATTGGGCTTCTGTGATATGTGAGCAAGCACACTGTATTTGACACATGCAGAAACTGGTTGAAAAATGCACACAAGTCTACAGGGTTCTCCAACACGGCACCCACTGGCACCAATATGCCTACCTGGATCTGCCAATCATCCTGCCACCCTTCATTGTATATGTAGATACTGGGATGCTAGTATATTGCAAAGCAAAATGCTCCTGTCCAGATCCCACCTCTGCCTTGTCTTTTTGTAACAGAAAGGTTACATTTCTTTGATTATTTATTTATGAGGTTTTTTATCCCCGCTTTTTCTTACAAAGAACTCGGAGCAGCTTACATAATTCTCCTCCTGCTCTCAGTCTTATCTCCTCAACAACAACCCTAGGAAGGTTGACTTGTCTGTTACTCCGAAGAAGGAGTTATGGAGCTGAGAGCGGTTCTTTTTAGTACCCAAATTAGTCACCATCACTTGATTCTGGAAAAGTGTGGGTATGTAGGGAAGGATAATAGTAGGGATTCCAGCTGTTTGCTAGGCTCACCAGCCAGGTCTCTGTAGTTCCTTGCCACCAATTTTACCCGCATGCACACAATAGAAGAAAAGTGCCATTTCTTTTCCAAGCTTTCTGTGATGGCTTGAGGTCAGAAAGAGGAAGAAACTACTTTCTAAATTGGAAAAGTAGTAATGTTTGCTTTTCCTCTTTCCTCTGCAAACTAGAAAAGCCTTTGCCTTTCCCTGCAGCCCTCTAGGCCAGAGGAAGGGACAGGGTCTTGTAGAAATCCTTGGAGGAGCTAAAATAGCAGGCATTTTTCCAGCTGTTTCTATAAAGCTTCCAACAAGTGAGAGAATATTCATCCTCTCCTTCAAGCCCTCTAGGCATGGAAAGCTGAGTTTTGCTCACATCTTCAGAGGCAAGGATAATGATGGCGTAATCCCTACTGTTTCTGTTATTCTCTGAAAAAACAAAGGAAAACGCTGCTGCCATGAGTCTTGCTTGCCAGGGCCAAGAGGCTTTCACCCTTGGTAGTTGCGAGTGACACCACTGAGTACTTTGGCGATGGCACGTAGCTTCATGATGAATTAACAGGAAAAAGACTGCACATGTCTCCCAGTGCTATTCTGCAACAGTCCTTTTTCCTGCAAGCAGGTGGTTTGGCTTAGGTATTCTAGTTGTCACAGATTATTTGAGCTGTTAGTCTTCTGTATCTCTAAAAGGTTAAAAAAAGTAAAAATGCATCTCCCCATTATAATATTTTGAGCATGTTGTAGTGGGAAGACCTGAGCTTTTATTATTTCATTTAATTTCAATGGCACCCCATAACCTGAAAGTTCTCTGGGTGGCTTACAAATACTTATGTCCTTATCTATGGCACCTTGAACAATATCAGCTGATAACAGCTTCTGGTTTTGCCAGAGTCGCTTCTGATAGCTTTTATCCATTATTGGAAGTCTGTTGAATGCATTTGATTCATTGCAATAGGCTCTTTCCTTTTGTTACTACATACAGAACTTAAAAACCCCTCTCAAGTAGGACCTGCAAAAAAAGTTACAGTATGAAGCATTCAAGGTGCCCACACTCCATACGCTTTTCCAGATTACATCTTTTCATTCTCTTATTCCCTCCAACAAAATGGTGATCAGAGAGCAATGTGGGGTCCCCCCCCCAATACTGTTCCCCTTTCATGCAATATGGCTTCAACACCATCCCTTATCCCAGAAAATCACTCTTAAGTCTAGAATAATGACAGATGGTTTATGAATGATTGCAGGAAGGGATAGGATTGGCAGTAGTTGGAAATCCACCCCCGCCATATAGCATGAACAGAAATGCTTTCCATTTGTGTGGAAACCTCACATTTGGACATTTCCCATCTTGTCTATATTGATATCTTTCCTTTCTGTGACTCACTAGAATGAGCATACTATTGCTCTGCTTCATCCTTTTTTAGGATTCTTTGAAAGCAACCTTGTGGTCCCGAGATAGCATCCAGTGAGCCATAGAATACTTTAGATTTCCAGATCCGGAGTTCAAACAGAGTTCTAACTCATTGCTGTGCACACACTTTCCTATCTCTCTTTCTACCTACCTCATAGCTAGTGTGGAAAGAACCATGCTGTTTGCTTCTCCAAGACTGGAAAATTGAGGTCACAGTGGGGTAAATCAGGGGAGGAGACTGGGGCTGTAGGATATGAGGTATGCTGACGATCCTTCAGTGACCTGCCCTCCCCTTCCACAGGGCTGCCCCTGAATAGCCAAAAATGGCCATTGAGCTGAATTGCAGATTGGGTAGGTGGCAATTGCTGCCTCCACTGGGTGTTTGTCAAGCCTCTTTACAAACATTCAGATTGCACTCAGAAAGATGTGCCCTTAGTACTGCATTGCTCAATTAATTAGTTTGTGGAAAGGAATTATTTAAGCTGTTTGCTGCCGAAGTGTATTATAAAACTGCCCATAGATTAGCCTAGTGGAATTAATCTTGGAAATTATTTTTAGCACTAGGAAAATAAAATCCTTTTAAATATGTGAAAATAATTGCAATATTTTCTTTGTATTTGCAATTTATTTTCACATAAAGCTTTGAGACTTTAACATACAATTGAGACAGCACAAATGTTGCAGATCAAGCTGATAATTTTGAATTTGCCTTTCAGTTGCAAGGTATTTTTATTTTAACAGGCTTTATCATTTCCCTGGATGACTCTTCTCAGGACAGCAAGTTGAGATACATTCAGAATTTTAAGTGGACAGACACCTTGCAAGGACATGTACCAAGGTATATATGCAATAGAGTTTTCAGTGTTTATTTCAGACAAATCTTCCTAGATGGTAGCATAAATAGTAACTTAGGACGCTTTCCAATGAGGCTGGGAACTTGCAGGATTCCAGGCATCCAATGCAGGTGGGAGGAGTGTGGAGGTGAAGATTGCCTTCATACTCCTTCTGCCCTGCAAATCAGCTTAATAGTCAGTTTTGACCACCTTAACTGCTGGGCTTCAGAGTGAGAGTGAAGGAGGCTGAAATGCCCCCAGGATACAGTATATTTTAATAACACTAGACTCTTCTCCCTCACCCCTGGAACAACCACTAGAGCCCTTCTCTGAGGTTGCTCTTCCTATCTTGGAGACAGAGCCAGTGCAGTTCTTTCCATAATGGCTGCAGGGGGGTAGGAGGATGGTGGTCTGAGCATGGATTTCCAGCTCTAAGGTCAGCAGTTTTCTGGCCATATAGCTGGGAATTCAAACAGTCTTGTGGTCCTCCAAGTGCCGCCTCTCTCTTCTCATAGGTTGCCCAATAGTTAGCATCATGTCAAAAGGCCAGCTTCTCCTTGTTTCTATCATAAAGAAAAGCCTACATCTGTCTCAAAAGTGTACCTTAGCAATTTCACTGTTTCCTTAGTGGTAGTCTCATAACTTGAATCCTTTGCATACTTCCTTGAAAGTAAGTCCCAGTGAGATCAGCAGGGCTGTGCCACAGTGTGATGCAGTGAAAAGAATAGACTGGCTTGTTTGGATTCTGCACAAGTTCTGAGCCTGGTATCGGACTCCATCATTCCATGAATCTTTGCCTTTATTTTTCTTTAACATATTTCTAGCCTTACAATTTGAAATTTGCTTGAAACTAAACATTATTTTAAGGAGAGCTGCAGTGCTGTGGACAGTTTCCTTTGCGACTTTTTGTGGCTACTGCCAACCTATACCAAATGTGTTATTTCTCCCCATTCTCTTTGTAAGTAATCCAAACTCTTTGAAAAATTGAATGCTAGTCATGCTATAATTGCCAAATCAAATACATTGTATGTTCTTAAACAAATCATTAGTTTTGGTAGCCAAACTGGGGAAAGGGAGTTTATTTTCATGCCTTCCTTTTGAGCTACCTGTAAGCATTGGGTTCCTTGTTCTTAAAAATGGTGCAGGACCAGGTAAAACTTTGTCCTGAATGCTTTTTATACCATTATGCTAATTTACCGAATCAGCATTATGCTGTCACTGCCATGTGTGGTTGCTGCTGTTTTCTTTTTTGTAAAGCACCACATAAGACAGATCAAACAAAAATACTGGCATTAGGCATGTTAATGCTTGGAAACACAAATGTAAACCAAAATTTCCTCATGTTTATATGATTTTGTCATTCATATCACCCACATCTCTTTTGAGTATGTATGAGTAACAACAACAGGGGGAAAAATGCTCTTGCGTGGCAATATAAGCCCAGACAGAGGAATATTAGTGAACATGAACTCTGACGTTGTATTGAGCATAAGAGAAGCTTCCAGTGCTATGAAAATGTTGTGGCTTGCTCATTCTCAATTGCACTCAATAGAAAACTTAAAAATTTCTGTATGACTTCGCTGACTGCTGCTTCTGTTGCTTTCAGTGTGTAGGGGAGGAGTTGTTGGAAGCATGGATTTTGCACAAAAGTTAGATTTTGCTTCAGCCATTCTTCAGACTAAAACAAAGCATGAATTGTTCCTGCCAAAACAGTTGTTCTTTTCAAGCTGTTAAATGTCTGTGTGAGGAGCATACATTTGAATACTTTTGTGGCTCGCTCACATGATTTGGAATGGGAGAATGAGAAAGAGGGACTAAAGCTCTTTGTTCCAGTGCCACGATCCTAGATGCATTTACTTGGGAATAAGCCCCAATTGAGCATATGACACTTCTAAACATATGAGACATGTTTAGGGTTGTGCTGTATATCTCTTAAGGACAGATGGAATAATTAGTATGCTTGGGTTCAGAATTAAATTTCAAATATTGTAACAAAATGTCATTTTTTTTTCCTTTAGTGCCCAGCAAGATGCTGTGTTTGAACTAGTTTCTATGGGATTTAATGTGGCTCTGTGGTACACTAAGTATGCATCAAGGTTGGCTGGGAAAGAAGAGTAAGTGTTCTCACTTTAATCATAATTTCTTAGAAGGCTAACTGTTAAGCCTATGCAAGGTTTGGCATGCCTAAGCCCATTGAAAGTGGAGACCTTGGCTACACCTAATGCTGCAGAGGCTTGTGGTCTAAGTTAACTACATCCCTTCAGCATAACTGTGACGACATGCATGTTTTTTAGTCTAAGCAGTATAGAGCCCAGTCCTGCCTGAAAACGTAACACTGAACCTAGGTCTTTAAAAAAATAACTTCTTCTTGCCTTGCATTATAGTAAGTATTTACACGGCCCACCCTGCTTGTGCTACAAGGCAGCGCTGTGTCCTTGCTTCCCATTCTCAGATGGGTTCCTTATGTACTCCTCTGACACTGTGCATAGTAATTTCTCAGTGTTGAAACAGCTGGGCTACTTGGTAAAACAAGAGGAGAGGTTTTCTTGGATTGATGCTGCTTTAAGAGAAGATTTGTAACTTGGGTTATCATACAGTGATTCTGAAGGCTGACTGCAGCAGTTAAATCCACAAAATACAGTCCAAAAGCATTCAATAAATCATAAATAAATGAGCCATAAATGAAAAACTATATTAAGTGGCCAATAAAATACTTGGGGACACATTTAGAGTACTAATTTTGACCTGATGCTGTATGGCTAGAGACCAGGAGATCTGAAGGGCCATCTACTCCTTTTTCCCCAGAGTCTTTGTCAGAATCCTAACTCACAATGCTCTTGCCTTTAAACATTGATATGCTTGATGGCCAGAGAGGGTCTTCTCAGTGGTTGTCTTTTAGTTATGAAATACTTGGTTGGTGCCCGTTGTGTTAGCTTTCTAGTTTGGGTTCAGCAAATCACTCTTTTAATGCACAGAGACTCACCATCTTGTGCCTGTAGTTCATTACATGTGAATTGGAAATTAAAAACACTTTTGCAACGAGACTGCTGTTTGAAACAGATAAGGGGAAACCCAGCTCCTGATAGCTTGAACCTAAACTAGAAACTACAAGTGCCTGCCTTTTCAGCAGCCCTGGCTCCACCCCTCTGGGTGTGCCCCTCCAGAGAAGAGCTAGCCTCTTAATTGGGTAGCCCTTTTAGCCTGATGGGGTCATGAACTAGACTGGGCTCCCCCCCCCGCCCTGCTCTTGTTCCTTCACATCCAAACCCTGTTCCCATGGTCTGCCTGAATACCTGGAGACAGCAGCCTTTACTCACTATCTCAGTTTCCACACTGGTTTCCCAGCATCCCACCCCGCATCCTCATCCAAAGAGTTGGTGCCACCCTGATCCTAGAAAGTGCACCAAGAATAACTGCTGCTTTAATTCCCAACATGTATGCGTGTGTGCACACACAAAAGCTACGGCTACTGCACTGAGTTGGCTGGAGTTTTTAATTGGGAAGGTAGCATAACTCAGTTGATTGCCCATGCTTTGCATGCAGAAGAACCCAGGTTCAATCCCTGGTATCTCAAGTGAAAATGCTCAGATAGAAGAGGATGGGAAAGACATCTTCCTGAGAGGGACTGCCAGTTTTGCAGACTATACTAGGTTCATCTTTCTTAATTTCTTCTGACTCCCTAGACTGTCCTAAACATATAAAGTAGAATTTTCTCAAGTGGTCGATCATGAAATAGGACATGTAAAAACTTTTTTTGTTCTTTCAGGTATTTTAGATTTTGTTACATTTTATAGAGTTTAGTTTGCAGTCTTTTGGATAAGTTAATCCTGTGTTGTTCCATATAGTTTTTTTAAATTCTTACAGCTTTTTCAGTTTGCCAGAGATCCTTTATTTTTGGGCAGATAATGTTAATAAATAGGAATTCAGCTAATGAGAATCCTGGCAAATTTGAGGTTGAATGTGAGTGAATTTGTGTGATTTTTAATATTGTTGTTGAGTTGCAATTCTAATAAATATCTTTTAGCATAACTGAAGATGAAGCAAAGGATGTCCACCGAAGCTTGAAAATAGCAGCTGGAATTTTCAAACACTTAAAGGTAGGATTAAGAAGAGTTCCAGATGTTCAGGAAATACATGTGCATTCTTTCTCTTGGATAAGTCACTTGCCGGAATGCATTCTGCTGTCAGAATCTTTATATACATGGGGAACGAGATAATCTTTCCCCTTACATGCTAAGTTTCCTAATGCAGATGGATTTGTATATGAAAGTCATTCAAATAAGCAAAATGTCCTCAGAGGACTATGCCAGATCTCCTTCCTGACTAATATGAACTGGTTTAATGGCCGCCATCCTTTGTTGGCACACATGATCAAACATACCCTTAAAGCACCATGACACCCCTCTCACTTTGAATCAAGGAGTGCAGGAACAGTGGGCCTACATAGTGCAATCTTATATGCATCTATCTTCAGATGCCGCTACTAATCACTTTATTATTTTCTTAGGAAAGCCACATCCCGAAATTGATCACTCCTGTAGAAAAAGGAAGAGATTTAGAAGCTCGGTTGATAGATTCCTATGTTATCCAGTGCCAAGCTGAAGCACAAGAAGGTATTGATGCAATTTCTCAATCTTTAGATTACTTGAACTAATTGTTCTACTTGGCGTGGAAAGGGTCGTATGTGACTTTTCAGTAAATGTTTGACATTTCACCTTCCCAAACAAACACAATGTACATCATGCAGTCAGTGTTAATGAAGAATCCATCTGTTGCAGGGATTTTGGGAGAATAGGAAGTTACCTAAACCATGGGAGTATTTATTCATCTAGCCTAGCATTGTCTCTAACTGCAGCCGTTCTGCTACTGGATCCTTTTAAGGGGCAATATCTGGGGAGGGGCACAGGATACATCAAATCCTCAGGTCTGAGGTCAGAGACAGCACCAGACCTCATGCAGTCAGCACAGAAAGGACTTTACTGGCCGTCTCTCCAAAGCAGAGAAAATGACCTTGGAGAGAAAGAAAAATGGGAGGAGAGGATACTGAAGAGGCCAAAATTATGAGCTTTCCTGAGGCTGCCTCACTTCTTCCCTGTACAAGATGCTGTGACTAGATTCCCAATACTTTTGCCATCTAGCAAAAATGCAGAGGGGAGAAGCAGGCAGGTGAAGATTGTCACCTGCTCCTGCTCTGCATTGGACCATGAACCGCCACATTTCAGGGCTTATGCTCACCTCTGCAGGATTACACGGAGACTTAATCGGAGACTTTGGGGATGGGACATGTATGGAAATAATGTACCATACCATTGAGCTAGAGTCCCTTACCTTGGCTGATGTGAAAAATTGATTATGAAATTGATGAATGCTTTTTATATTAAAAATGTATTCTTATATCGTATTCAAAGGATAATTCTGTTCAGCACTACTATATACAGCTGTTAGAAATACAAAGTGAAGCATGTTGCAGTCTGAATGGGACTTCTATGCCTATCTTGTCATCCATATTTAAACTGTTACCTCTAACTGGGATGGATGGTAATGCTTATTGTTTCATCTAATTTTGCCTTAGTAACAATTGCCCGAGCTATTGAGCTGAAACATAGTCCTGGTCTAATAGCTGCCCTGGCATATGAAACAGCCAATTTCTATCAAAAAGCAGGTATGTTCAAATAATTGCTTTATGACTACCTTGTAAGTTCAAATGCACAGCTTAAAATGCAGACTCTTAAGCATGGATAGAACATTAAGGAAATGCCATGGACAATAAGTAGAATCCATGGACCTCTAGTTGATTTGAGCTGACATTGGATCCCCAAAGAAAACTTCCTTTGCAATGTTTACCTTTCCCTTTTATAACTACTTTGGGGACAAGAACCAAATTTAAATATAGCACTTATGTGGCTTGCTAAGGTACAAAAGTATCAAAATAACAGTTCACACAGTAACCAGAGCTTTCATACATCCAAATAGCCTGTTAGCAGCTGCTGTAATAGAACAAGTTTATGAATAGACTTATTTTTGTAAATATAATATTGTTTTCTCATTCTAGATCAAATGTTATCTAGTTTGGACCCAGCATACACAACTAAGTGGCGAAAATATCTTCAGCTAAAGTCATGTTTCTATATGGCCTATGTGAGTATTCTGTTTGTGTTTCTAAATACTTCCAGAAATTGTCAAAAGACTATTCATGTGTGCATAAAATTATAATCAATGGTTTAGGATCTATTTAAAGCAGTTCTTTTCAGGAAACTTATATTTTCCGGAGGGGAATAAACTCAGGCCCAGGATCCAAACCCAGCTGGCCAGGGACCCAGTCCAGCCCTCTGGGGTTCCCCAAATGGCCATGCCCCATTTCCCCCAAATGCCAACTGTTTGGTGGTTTTCCAGCCTCTGTAACTTTTCCCCCCTTTCTGAATCATTGAAATGCCATTCCTAAGGCTTAGTTGCTGGCAGAAAGAACATTTGGCTACAATATACAGCCACCCAGAGAGTTGTCTTGATTAAGGGGTGGTATAGAAATAAAATAAATAAACGGGTAGTTTTGGCCCTACCCCCTTTTTTGCATCCCGGACCCATAATTGATATGTGCTCCTCTGAGAACTTTTGCAGAATGGAAGCTGTTGCTTGGGCTGAAAGAAGTCATGTACTCCATGTTCAACGTTTAAGAACTTCTAGTCCAATATAGCAGGCTGGGGCTCCAGTGCCTGCTCTCCACCAATGGAATGTAAACGTCTGATGAAAAGTATTTCCCTTTCCCTCATGCACTGCCTCCTAGTATGCTCTGGAGGGCTGGTTGATCATCTGGGGTAAATTCAGGGAGCTGCAGTGGGTGCCGGGGGGACCCAAAGAGAAGCGCCACTACATAAATGTCAGCCCGTTTTCTCAGTACAGGGTTTAATCCAACATTCCCACAGCGGCCAATCTTCTGGTCTGTTTAATACATGAAAACTTCCAGTGTACTGACAAAAAAGTGTACTGTCTCAAATGAGGATGCATGGGAATCATTCCCATACACATCTTTTTCCTCTCTTGACTGGGATAGTTGGGAGTTTAGAGGGCAGGCACCTTCTCTTTCTGATGTACTGTGCTGAGCTGCCACATTCCTGTTAATCACCTTTCAACTACTCTGCATATTTCTCTTCATATATGCTGGTAGCAGTGCTAAGTTTCAAATTGAACACCCTTGCTTGACCCTTAACACTACCAAAGCAGTGGGATAGCTTGCTACCTTGTTCCTTCCCAGGTCAGGGTGCTCCCTCTCCTCCATCCACTGAAGCAAGAGCAAGCTTAATGTTGCTTCAAAGCATGTGGAAAGCATTTGACAAGCACTTTCTCCCCCCAGGCCTACTGCTACCATGGTCAGACACTCCTGGCCAGTGATAAATGTGGAGAATCTATTAGATCTCTACAAGAAGCTGAGAAATGTAAGTACAGTAGTTTGATCCTTTCCATTTCCTGTCTTCTAGGGGGAAAATGGATTTCTTACATGTCAGTTTCATTCATGTAAACATCTGATGATTATAAGTGTAGACAATCCAAGTGTAACTTTCAATTAGCTTCTGAGATGGGTGAAAATGTATTTTTCTTACCTGAACAGGTGTGCCTGTGATTCACCTGATCAAGAGGAAAAACAGTAGCTTTATGGATAGACTACACTCAGCAACTTTGCTAGCATATTTATAAATGCCAGCTGAGTAGGCTCTGCCCATATAGTCAAGTTTCTATCCCTTGCTTGAACAGATACACATGTTCAGGTAAGGGAAACAAGCTAGTTGGATGGAGCAGAAATAATTCACTCATTTCAGAGACAGATTAATTGTTACCCTTTGCTTCTCTATCTATGTGTGTCTGTTGCTTTTGTTGTGTTTCTGCCATGTGGACCACAAACAAGCAATGAAAAGCAGTACTTATTTTGTTACTACAATAATTAAAACAAGTAAATAAGGAGCATGGTTTCACTCATTGCTTTCTTGTACAGTTTATGCCAAGGCTGAAGCATTGTGCAAAGAGTATGGTGAAACCAAAGGGCCTGGGACAACAGCTAAGCCTTCCAGCCACCTTTTCTTTAGGAAGTTGGGAACTCTGGTGAAAAATACCTTAGAAAAATCCCAGCGAGAGAATGGATTCATGTAAGTATATTTGGGGCACAATTCTGTGTGCATTTAGGCAGAAAAAATGCTAACGTTCCTAGCATTCCTCAGTCAACATGTTTAGACAGAAAAATCCTTTAATGCTCTACATTTGTAGGATTATGCTCTTAGTGTCTTAATACTTTTCTAAGTATTGATGATTTCTGTTTTTGAAGTATGATAATGGCCAAATTCTAAACTGATTTACTAAGTAGGTCTTGCTGGGTCCAATGGATATTACCTCCTAGTGAAAGCTCTGAGTGAGCATATATCCACCGCCAAGTACTCTTTCTGTCTAACAGTGTAATTATGATGTCACAGGCCCATAGAAGAACATACTCACTCCTACCTCTTTCCTGGTTAGTGAGAAGCTTCAAGAGCAAACACTTCATCCATTTCTTAGCTGCCACAGTAAGCAGCTGGAATAAGGGTGGTGAAGCATTAATTCCTGACTACTTTCAGGTTGTGCTGCTGTGAAGATTACTTTAAATACAGGGCAGGCTAAGAGGGATAGAGGGTTAGCTGGATGACCCTTCCAGTTCTGTGACTGTCAACTGGCATTCTGCTCAATTCCTGCATGGAGAAAGAGGGAGATCTATGAAGCAGCCTGGATGGGTTCTTCCTCTGACACACTGGAGCAGGCCTTGTGGCAGGGAGTGTGCAGTGATGGAGAATTTGAAGCTGGTGGGTGGGTAAAGCATTGCTTTTGAATGGGGCAGGGAAGAGAGAGACCGAGAGAGAATCATGGGTTTGACACTTTTTTTGCCATTCCGAATATTCTAGCCAACCAGCCCCAAAGTATTGGACACCCCATGCATGTCTTGTTTTTAAAGCAAATCTAACAATTATTAAACTGCATATAAGAATCTAGTCCAAATATGAATCGATACCCTTGTGCACTGTCTTCTGGTACGTGAGCTTTTTCTGATAGAATCGGAGAATCCTGGCTTGCCACAGGAAACCTCTTTCCTGACTGGAGTCTATATATTTTGCTTGTTATGTTCATTTGTAGGCTCATCGCTAAATACTGTTGTCAGGTGACTTGAGTTTACTGGAAATCTAAAACCAGAAAGCTGCATTTTTTGAAGTTGGATGCCAACAGAATGCACACTAGAAACCAGAGAAGTTGATTGATTATAATATAGAATTTGATTATTCAACTTATTTCTGTGTCATGCAAAGGATAGGCCATGGTGTGTGGTGACTGTTTCCCACTTTTGAGTGAGAGTAGATGTTAAGAAAGGGCATTCAGTTTGGCATAAATCTTCTCTCTCGTTTTTGGAGGGCGTACCAGTGGGAGGCATATAAGCCAGTGATCTTTTTAAAATTAAAGCTGTATATTCAGTGAGCTGAACATTGTAAATGTATCAGTTTGGGTTGGATCCAGTTTTCAACCTGCTCCGAGGAGTCCTCTCTTCTTACATTCTCATGCTATCCACTTGGAGCAATCCAGCCAGAGGAAAGGAAAGACAGGCAATCTTTGCTAGTCTCTATCACTCCACTGCAGCCCCCCAGAACCCCCTTCCATGATGTTGCAGAACATCTCTCAATCCATCCATGGTGCCCACTTGCATGGCCTTGCATTCTTGTATTTTTATTTGTTATAACCATCCAGGCACTGCAATTTTCTCTCTTTGGTCTTATTTGCTGTTTCTAAACAAGCAGTGCTTTGCCCAGTAACTGTTAGCCCTTGCTAATGTCGTACAGGATGAGCAAAATTATCAAATAATGTGAGGACAGTGCAACATTTTCTAAAAATAACAAAATATTAAATGGAATTTAAAACAATAATATGAAGTCAGATATAGGCTGTCTCTGAGGATGGGGATAAGTCAATTTTCAGCAGTTCTTCCCACAGGACTCTATGATCTACATGCACGCACACACGCAGCCTGAGAGCTGGCAGTGAGAGCTTTGGGGGAAAGGGAATTGGCAAACTTTGCTTTTGCTCAATCTCAGTTTTTCACAGATGAACAAGCATGAATTCAAGCCAGACACTGTTGAATATATTTGCTCCTAGGTAATGTTAATATCATTTTAGTATAAATTAACATGTTTCAGTTGTAATATTAGCCAAGTAGTATGCATTATTGTCTAGGGAATGTGATTTAAATCAGCCATTTTCTTAGTAATTTATGAAGGGTATAAATTGCCTAGATTCCCATTTACTCTACAAGTATTCCCCAGTACTTCAACCAAGCGCCATCCGGATGCTTTGGACTACAGTTTCCATCATCTCTGACTATTGGCCATGCTGGCTAGGTTTGAATTGTAGTCTAAAACATCTGGATGATACTAGGTTCAGGAAGGCTGTTATAGTAGATCCTTGAAATTTTCAACTAAGTACCTTCATGGCTATGGACAAAGCCAGAAGATGGTATTGGTATTGGGGGAACAGGTGCTTTGGCTGAACTCCATTGCCTTGTGTTGGCATAAATGTCTTGGTCATATACTAGGGCTGAAGATGTATCTGCCTAGCTAGAAACTACCTGGCCAGGAAGGATCGGTTTGTGGAGGGCCGCTGTTTTGTTGCTTCTGTCTCTGAAGGGCAACCTCGGGTGGGAGTGGTCTTCTAACATCTTCTCAGTCTTGAACCTGGATTGCTGATCCCAGCTGCTTCTCAGCCCTACAGTTCTACTCCGTCTGGTTTTCTTGTTAGTCTGAAGAACCTAATGCATGTCTGTAGTCCTCTTCCCCAATGAGGAGGTATGATGTGACACACTATTTAGCACTGGAATAGTGTAATATAATCAAAATAGTACTATTCACACCAATCTATTGAGTTGATGCTAATTGAAAGATAAGTTATATCATGAAAGGAGATGTGCACAGATATAGGCAGTAAAAACAAAAACTGCATGTGGCCCTAAAACATAAAAACAAATTAAAAATGCAGTTTAAAGCATAGCAATAAAAAGCAGCTGATCAGGTAAACCCCCTTCAGCAACAAAGTGGTCAGTATGCCAACATGCGGAAGGCTTAGCGAAATAAAAACTTCTCTCACGGCCAGCAGGACGACAACCAGGAGGGGGGCAACCTCATCTACCTTGGCAGGGAGCTCTAGAGTCTGGAAATGCCATGAAAAAGGCTTGGTGTCTCCTGCAGACAAAGCTCTGGTGGTGGTTGACAAATATTAAAATAGTAAAGCCTATGGAGGCTTGTATGGGAAAATGCAGATTTCCAAACAGTCTGATCCCAAATTGTATAAGGCTTCGTTCATGAACAGCACTGTCCAGAAGTAGTTGTGTGTCTTCTGTAAGTGGACCTGGTCAGCAATGTGACCATGGTATTCTGGGCCAGCTGCAATTTCAAGCACTTATCATGTAGAACATGTCACAGTCGTCCAAATGGAATACGTACATTTGAACAGCAACATAATGTAATGTGTTTGGCCCCTGCCATTTTTATGAAACTACTGTGCAAATTGTGAACAGCATGTCGTTAAATCATGCACACCCCCTGTGGCTTTATTTTTTTAACAAGAAGAACAAGGAAAGCTAATACTTAATTTTTTTCCCTTTAGTTACTTTCAGAAGATTCCCCCAGAGGCTCCTCAGCTGGAGCTGAAGGCAGATTTTGGTCTGGTTGAACCTATTTCTTTTGAGTTCCCTGCTGTGCACGCACAGTGGACCCCGGAATCGCTTGCTGCATTTGATCTTACTAAAAGGCCAAAGGAGGACAGTGTAAGGCTAATAATTCTTTTTGCTTTTTCCATCAGTGCTGTCTGTGATCTCCTACTTCAGCATCAGCATTCACACTCATGCTCTTTTGCACTCATTTACATCACCATTACTTCTCTACCAAGCAAGAAGAGGGAGAGAATATAGTTTTGTGAAGGCTTTGTGTGCATGTTTATTGGGTAATTTTGCCTTCTGTCAAGGTCCCCTTGTTGTCATTATCACATGTAAATCCCACCTTTTTTCCTCTTGAGGGAGAACCCAAGGTGACTTCCATAGTGCCATTTTATTTTCACAACAGCAGCTTTGTGAGGCAGGTTGGGCTGAGAGTTGGTGTCTGGCCCGAAGTCATCTACTGAGCTCCCTGGCCAAGCGGGGACTAGAATGCAGATCCCCGAGTCCCCCGTCCCACAGTGACTGCCCCCCATTCCGGAATGACAGGAGGGGCTGTTCTGCACTGCAAAGCTTTTAAAAGATCCCCTTTACCATTATCCCTTTTATGTTTAGCCATAGTTTTATAATAGCAAAAGTGCTGTTTTATTGATCTTGCAAGCAAAAGCTCAAGTTACAGTTAGTCTTGATTCTGAAAGCCATATTGCTGGAAACTGTAAAATTACTCAGTAACATTTTTTTTTTACTTTCATTTGCAGCCTAAACCAAAAGCAGAAGAAGAAGTGAAACCTCTGAAAGAGCCAGACATAAAGCCTCAAAAAGACACCGGGTGCCAGATCTCTTAAACTCCACAAGTGCTTTGAAGTACCCTTTGTGTGCTACATTTTGTGAACTCTGGGATTTTTTTTGTATCCCATTTGCTGGCTCTTCTGGACTTCTTCATCCTAAAAATGAATTCAGTGCTTTTCATCTTTTATAAATACCTATCTTTGACTGAGTTTGTTGCTACAGAGATTGAAATTGAAAAAAATGTTAGGATCTCAGTGTAGGACGTGACCATTTAGGTTAATAGGCAACTGATTATGAAATAAATTCTAATGATCTAGAAGGGTTGAGACACAGGCAGTTCGGAGGCAGGGGCAAACATGAACAAGATAAATTTTGTTGAGATTTCTTAAGATGCTGTGTCAACCAAGTTGGTTGAAAAGAAGGCAAAGCTACAAGAAGGATTGGGTATTAACATCACATTTTAAGAGCAAGGGAATTACTTTGAGTTCATGAGAACTTAACAGGGTTATCAAACTATTAAACCACCTAGCAAAATAGTAGGAAAATATATACCTTGCACAGGAGATCAAAGGTTCCAACTAGTGCAATTTTATCCCAGCAGGAGTACAACTGATGCTGTCTTTGCACTTAAAATACTCTAAGGGAAATAGAAGTGAAAGGTGGATTTAGATAGTGTTTGTCCTTGATGTCTTTTCCCAAAACCAGAAAGTATTATGAAAGAGATGATAGAACTATTCAGCCATTGAACCAGAAGAGTCCAATAGAAAATAAAGCATCTATGGAAGGACCAATTCCTAACTGAACTTATCAAAGAGCTATCATCAGTAAGTGTTACATTGTTCTGCTGTATGAAGAGCTCTTACTCCAGGGGCTAGAAAATAATGCCCCTTGTCAGAGATCCACAGATAATCACTGCACTGTCTAAAGAGGAATTGAAGGGAGATTTAAATTGGTAGCCATGGGTAAAGGAGCATATTGGACTAAGGAACAATATAGATTAATATGATTTGTGAGAAGGCTGAGAAAGAAAGAAATGGATAGGTGGTACCATTGGGAATAGAGGCTAAAAGACATGCAAAAGGTTTTCTTAAATTGAGAAAAACAATGAAGGAAAAAGAGGAGGTGTTAGGAGATTGGAAAGACTCAAGACTGTAACATATCGACTTCTAGAAAAGCAAGAACAAAACATGTCAAAGAGGTAGTGAGGGATGTTAGTGGAGCTTCAGCGATATAGTATGACCTGCATTGAAGCCATTCGGAGAACTGGTGGGTGATGGATATGCTGGCAACCCTCCAAAAATCGAGAATAACATCTCAGACACTAGAAATGCTGGCTCTTCAGAGAAAAACAGGGATTGAAAGTAATTTTGCTGCAATTGGTCATGCTTGCTGGGCCAGGCCTTTTTTCGTTAGAATTTGAGAGATTCATAACAAAGGATTTCAAGGATTTAGTTTCCATGTGCAGAGTAGCAAGAACTGATGTGGGCTCCTTAAGAGGCATTTTCCTTTTGCAGCTAAAAAAATGTACAGATCAAATGTCTAAACAATTGAAATGGAAGCGTGCAAGGTAATAGGGGGAGCTGGGTTGCTTTCCTTCCTTCTATGTTTAAAAAATAATGGTAGATAGATCTAGCAGAACATCAAAACAAATCATTTTAAAAACCTCAAGTGAATTCTGTTTTGATAGAGCTTCAGTTTGAAAATAGAATGTCCTGTTACAAGAACTACAGTTAGCATATGCCTGGGATAATGGACACTCCAGTTTGTCTGTTTATAAACTGAATTTATATAAACTTGTGGCATCTTATATTCTTAATTTCTTGGCTCATTTCTCAGACCTGCATTTAGGTTTGAGTATGGGTGAGATTATTTAATGCAGTATGTTACTGGCTTAGCAAGACTTGGAATTGCTTACCAAGGCCAAAAAACTAGAACCAAAATGTTCAGTTATTAAAATGTGATGTGTGTCTGCTATGCTAATGCAGCTCAACCCTCTTGTGTCCTTCAAAATTTAAAATGAGCAAATTGTTTTGGAGCTCTTCCTGCTGCCTCACACCAAACCTGATAAAAGAATACTGGCAGCTTATTTGAATGTATGTATGGAAACCTGTATGAAAGTCTCCATGTAGGTTAAGTCTTACTGGGTATGTGTGTCACGTTCTGGAGGATGTTCACTCAGTGACCAACCGTGATCAGATAACTGCAGTGGCTTCACAAACCTTAGAATGTATCATAAGGAATTGTAGTTATGTTCATATTAGAGGTCGTAGTTAGTAACATTAAATTATTAACAAGTTTGCCCACTAAGCAATGAATCTGTTAATAAATTGTGCCATGAATAAACAGTTACCAGTGAACAGTCTATCCACAGACTTAGCAAACAAATCAGTTGCACAGTCCAATCCTGTCTGTATGTATTTAGAAGTAAGCATATACTGATTTAAAGGGGCTTTCTAAATAAGTATGGCCTTAGCATGCTTTCACTTACAAATTCATACTTCTAGTGCCCTTATTTATTCCAGTATCGGTGGTTGAGATGAAGGGGGTGTAGCCATCTGGGAAACACCAGAGAGCTGAAAATGGCCCACAGCACCAATTTTACACAGAGTGCTAATTTTGTGTCAGTTGCCAGTGAGGCAGAACATTAATTAACTCAGCTGCAACGTCAGGGCCCTCTCAAATTAATCAATTTTTGAGGATTTTAGAAAGTAACCTTGAAAGTAAGAACATGCCACTTCTTTTTGTATAGGAAGATTTCCTAGCATGAGTCCGGTGAATGATTTGGGAGCCACAAATATTGCAGAGTCACTCAAGCAGCTGCAGGCCTGATCCATAGCTTGGATGGGGGCCATTTGAGGCTACAATAGGGGACATAGTTATAAAGTTTCCTAGTACATATGTTATTAGAATTTAGTATTGGTAACCCTTCATTTGACACACACAACCTGGAAAGCTCCTGCTTGTATAATCTTATGTATTTAGTATTAGGAGGATGTTCCTTTTTTAAGCCTTGCATTTACAGGGTGCAGATCAAGGTCTGTGTATACTATTATATCTTCCTTGTGAAATTTTAGATTTTTTTCCTGATCACTTTGCCATGCTTGGATGGCCTTTGAGCCTTACATAAAACAATGAGGAATAAATTAAAATGAATCAATACAGGGCTGCTTTTTGCCATTTTGACTCCTTTATAACGTTGTGAATATAATTTTAAGGAGAATAAGGCATGAACTTTCACATTCAAAGGGAGGGGTTATTAAAGTGTGCTTCCCTTTGGTAATTTTTTCTCTCCTGAAAAAACTCCATGAAATCCAGTGCCAGCCTTATGCAAACTTAATACTTCGTATATGCATCTTCCGTATGCTTGCACTATACCTTCCTAGGAGGGCTAGTTGAGGCTTGTGTCCAACAATGTACGAAGAAGTGATCTGTTAAGGTGAAAGCTGCACTTGTTGGTGTTCATTCCAGATGCTAGGCTGCTTTTCCTTGTGCTGCTGCTGTTTCAAAGTTTCTGAAACAAAATGACCTTGTTAGAGTACCAGGTATGTTGCTTGTGCTGTATAAACAATAAAATGACTTGCATGTTCACAGCACATAGGCTGTGAGTTTTATCCTTCAGTTTTCGCCCCTGGATGTCACCATCAGCCTGTATAGACACGTAGCTCCTCTGGTTTAGCTGTTTGGATGCTGCTGATCCACACAGGCTTGGATTGGGCCAGAGAGGGCAGCAAAAGGTTTGAGAGAACTTACACTGGAATGTCAAGTTCCAGTGAGCCACCTATATGTACATGCTGCCCGTTTGCCAAGGCAGTTTAAATGAGTTTGCCAGTTCATTTAAATGGCTTGAAAACCCACTGGTTAGTCCTACTCGTGATACACTTGTAATAAACACGGTATGTCCTTTTGAATGAGTTCACGTGAAACAGTTTTGCTGGAGATACACCATTCTAGACACTTAGCTTCCTTGTCCAGATATCTTTGATAAATCCATTTTTCCTGGGGGAAAAATGGCAAAACATGGGTTATATTAGCATGCATTGTTAAAATTCAAAAAGGTGTATTCTTTAATTGGCTTTACTGTGATTTCCCGTGCTTACAAATATACTCATTTATATATTAATTGTCTTAGTAACAGATCTAGGATGTAGGCTTAAATTTATCAACTGGGGGGAAAAGCACAATTTCTGAAGTTTTCGCATGCACTAGACTTACCCATTGAGGAAGTTTATACAGAGACAGTCCCAACTTTTCTTTTTTTCTGCTACTGATTTCTGCATGGTGGTGTCTGAATGATGGATCAAAGACCTAATTCTTGCAGCTGTCAAATCAAAAGTGGCATATGGAGACTCCCCCAGAATCTGGAATCATCCCAAACACCCACATCCAGGAATTGATGCCCTGATGACTTTGGTGGACGGCAGTATTCATTGGTAGATGACACAGCCGTGAGTTCCACCACCACAGCAGCACTGAGCACAGTATCACAATCCATTCCTTGAGTGCCAATGCTTGCAAGGTCTGAGATGCACTATGGGGCAGATAACTAGCAAAGCATGGTTTTTTTGGACCAGAGTACCTAAAGCACTGCACAGAATGGGCTTTATGGGTGAAGATAAATTACGGTTCCAGTAACTAGGATGAATCGGAGGGAACATGTCACCAAAAGTGGGTGGATTCAATAGGGGCACCTATCTATTGCACAAATGCAGTGCAGTTTGGCAGATGACATTGTCTGGGCTTGCATTATAGAACAAGCTACAGTGGGGGGTTTATTGTTGTTTACCATATGTGAACCCAGTTGCAGTCTTTCAGCATGATATGTTTGGTCTTTAGAAATTAGGTTCAAAACGATCAGTTCTATGGTTTCTGCTTACCATGATGGTTTCTTGTGACATCCAAACCCAGCATCATGGTTTCCATGGTTTAGGTTTTAGATATAAGCCACACAGGTGGATTCCAGAGGATGCCGTATTGGGGAATGGGTGCTTCCTGGAGCAGGGGCAATAATACGGGGAGGGGGGAAGGGAAAGGGGGGAATAAAATGCTGCAAGGGATTTCAGCAAGACAAAGGTTGGGGGATGATAGGAGGGGGTGTGGGTAAATATACCTCAATGTGGAGTAGAATCACACTGGAAAAGGGTGATTTCTATGAGGAGATTTATTCATTAAAAGGTAGTCTTAGCTGAGGGATCTGCAGAGGGGAAAAAGGAAAAAAGGAGAAGAACATGCCCAGGGAACTGCAAAAACCAATTAGGAAGAGGCAACTGATGTCAGCCAAGGAATGATGCAGCTTGGGAATGAATGACAGACATGCCAACAGTGGGAAGTTTGGAGAAGATGGAGACGACAGTAACATAGAAACTGTTGTGATGTGCAAACCCACTCATTGTGCTAAGGGACCATGCAACGTGTCAAATGACTGCAAAACTTTCTTTTTCTCTCTAACGTGCTGGATTTCTCCACTGGATAATTCTTTGTGGAAACGTTGCGGGGGCTGGGGGCAGAAAAAGGGTGACTTTAAGACACAGCTGAAGTTGCTCAGATAACAAGTTTCCTTGAGGTTTTCTGCAGATTGCACAGAACTGTCCCCATGGGCAAGAAAATATACTTTTCAAATAAGGTATAGTGGCAAAAATCCACAGGAAGAGGGAGAAGAGACTGCTGAGGAAAGCTGGAGGACACAAGGGGCAGCAATGTTGTCAGGTGGACATCAGGGAACCAAGATGGCTCAGCAGGAGTGGCAGTACTTCGGTCTGCTCTTGCCCCAAGATTTAGGGGCACTTTCCAACAACTCATGGTACAGCCAATCACCTGGGTTCTGATGATACAGTGACTCATTGTGGGTAGGTTAACCACTCCACAGAGTTGGGTTATCATGGTAGCTTGCGAGCCACCTTGTCGGAAGTGGTCTAGGTTTGGAGAATACAACAACCCACCACGGCTGGTTAGCCACAAGGGGTTGCCCTGATATGCAAACCCAGTGTCTACCTACTGCAACTCACTCTGGCTGCTTCAGTTAGTATGTTGGGTTAGCTGCCCTCAAGTAGAATGGAAATCACTGGTGGAAATAATTTTCTTTCCTACCAAATCTGCCTCTGGGAGAGCTCTTCCTATGTTGCTGGACTTAAGCACTGATAAGAACAGAGCTGGACAATTGGGTGGCCTTATTTTAATCCCTCACAATGGCCGAGTCTGGCACATCACGAGAAATGAACTCGTTCAGCAAGTTCCCACGTCCCAGTGGAAGCCAGGCAGGGAGCAGGACAAGTTTCAGTGAAGCCGGAGGGTGGTACTGTCAGGGTGCTTATTCCTCAGGGGTGCCCCATGCTAATGAAGTCCCCTGTGCACACGTGCCTTCCCCGTTCAAAATAGTTGGGGGGCATGTTCCAGGTCTTCACTCACTTCCAGATGGCTTCAATTCGTGCCATTCAAAACTGATGCTATGCTGATGCAGTTTGTACTTGAGAGTTTGTTCCACAGTCCAAAGTGTTATCTAATTTGAGGGGCAAGAGTGCAGAATCATTTCCACTTTATTTCATTTGCTGGATGCCAAATGAATGGGACCCATGAAACAGTTGCCACATTCTGGTGCAAGTCAGCCTGGGATTGGGAATCACATCCCTCTTTTTGCCATGGCACTGCTACGCAGTCAGAAAAACTGGCATACTTGTAGCCCACTTTTGTGAGTTAACATTATGGGGGCAAAGCATAAAGCACCTTGGAAAGTCAATGCGTTCTGCGGATGGAAAATAACATTCCAGAAGCCACAACACAAGACACGTAGCAATGCCCATGGAGCTTTTCTGCTCATTTCGAAACACAAACACCATCTTTCCTAGTTTGCTTATGGCTTATTCTCTATTATGCACACAACAAACACTTCTGATAACAAGCCATTATCTTCTTTTGAAACTTCGAGTCGGCTGGGAAGTTACACTCCTTTGCTGCCTCCTCTTTCAAACGTGGGCGTTCCTAACACGTGGCAGTTTCACAACGCAACCAGCAGGTGGCGTGGCAGCCCGGCTGCAGACAGTCTCTTTTCTACCAAGGTGGGGTGAATTGTTTTCTGCCTGGTTTAGCAATGTGGGGAAAGAGTGAGTATGACGTTTGGGGGCTGAACATTGCCCAATACAACATTTTGAAATGTCTGGAGGTGCCTCAGAAGGGGGAACTGCAAATGGCTCTCCAAAAGTAGAACATCTCGATTTTATAACAAAGAATTTACAGGTTTGTCCACACCCCAGCCGGCGTTCCTCACTATCAGGGACCTGTATTTTCCTCTGCCCTTTAGCTGCCTTTAGATCTGGTGCATAGCAAAAGGAAACAAAGCCCAGCCCACAATTCAAATACACTCAGCCCTTTTCAGGTAGCGTCTTAGTTCTGCTTTTCCTGACTGGCCTCTCCGTTTTGCACAGCTAACATTTTAAGAGATTTCTGCATAGGTCCTCTGTTATGTTTTCTTCGTTTCCTCCTTCCCGGGCAGCATATTAAGTAGGTCCTATTTCTGTGATGGAAGATAGCAGAGAGATTCTGAAGGTGAGTTACTGTTGTGTTTTTATAGATCTTTCTTATTCTGACAATAGATGTGTATCCTGATTTTATTTACACACACACACACACACACACACACACACACACACACGGTGGAGGCAGTGGAGTAAATCTGCTGCTGACTTTTGAAACTTTGGAATGCTGTTCAGAACTATGGCTGGGGGCTGCAAACCCCGATTTAAATATAAAAATTCAATGTCTTCTGTTCCTCGGGTGGCATTAGGGCATGGCCCACTTGTGCTGGAACCTCAAAACCCCGGAGGCTGCCTGCCCCACTACCTGTCTGGGGGCACTTGTGAAAATAAAGACACAGGAAGGACCCTTAGGATCCCTGTTGCATCGGATCTCCCTGGATTAGCTGGCTTTTGGCCCACATGTGATTCACTCTACCATCCTCAACCCCGCATCTTTCTGCCTGAGCCCCCCCCCACAATCAAATGCTCCCCTCTCCTCTCCTCCCCTCTCCTCTGACCACACATCCCTATTTACAAATAGGGGGTATCCTTAGGAAAGAGGGCTTTCCGAACACACACACAGACTTTAGAACAAGCCTTCTCAATCTTTTTTTTAATCTCATGGAACACCTTCATAAAAATTATTGTATGGGTAGGCCCTTATAAACACTCTGTGTGTGTGAGAGAGAGAGATATGTATGTAAACACATTATTTACATATGGACACACACCCACACACTCTTGTGGAACCCTAGGCCTCCCAGAAACCCTAGCTGAGAATTCTGCTTTAGTGGAAATTAACACACATTAGCATTTACAAATTTATGCTTGCTCCCCTGCCCATGGCCTCCAGATCTTCAGTACCTGGCATCATTCCTGCTTCAGTTTAAACCAAGTGAGAAGTGTTTTGAGAGGTCCATCATTACACAATGAAGTTGTTATTTAAGGGGATGCTCCTGTGGTCCCCGGGCAGCATCAAGGGAGCCATGGGATGGCTCAGATTCCACATCTGAGGTCCGAGACAGTGCTGTGGCCTCAGAGCTGGAAACGGGAGCTCTGCTCCCCTTCCCTGCCCCTTTGCAGCCGGTGTGGAAAAAGCCATGCTGCTTGCCCGCCAAGGTAGGAAAGCCACTTCGAAAAAGGGCTAAAGGGGGTGATGCGCAGGAGCGGAAGAGACTGTGGCGGCCGGGACAGAGAGTCAGTCAAATTCAGCCTCCTTCCCTTCACCACTGAAGACACCCTGTCTAGGTGGCCAAATCTGCCAACTAGCAAAAACGCAGAGTGGGAGGAATAGGGAGGGAATGGTTGTCTTTGCAGCTCCTGTTTGGCAGTGGATGAGAAGCGGCCTTCGGGTTTCAGGGCTCCTGCTCATCTCAATGGGGGGGGGGGGGTTGCACCCTCAAACAACCTTCCCCAACCCGGTGCCCTCCAGATATGTTGGAATGCAATTCCCCGCATCCCCAGCAAAGAAACCCTGATCTCCTTTAGTTGTCCCAAATAAGCTAGTGGAGGTTCAGGAGAGGTTGCATTTATTTATTGGGAGATTGTGACATGAGATGAAGGAACGCCAATTCTGCTTGCAAACAGGGTGCAAAGACCCTTGTCAAGCACGCTTTGTGGCAGCGGCAGATGGGGAATGTAGGCAGAGATCACCCATGGGTGCGCCTCACAGGTAGCCCCCGAGAGCCATGGGTGGCCTGTGAGTAGCCCACCCCTGCATCAGAGGGACCTCACTGGTTTTCATCTTATTCAAAACATGGTACAGGAGGAGAGCTTTATGAATATGCTGGACTGACTGAAAGACAAACAACTCCCAGAGCACATCAAGACAGAGCTTTCCCTAAAAGCAAAACTGAGGCGGACGTACTTTTGACACATCACGAGAAGGCAAGACTCCCTGCAGAAGACAATCATGTAGGGGAAAGTCAAGGGCAGAAGATGAAAGGGACGGCCAACTATGAGATGGGCTGAATCCATAAAGGGAGCTATAGCCTTGAGCTTGGAACTGCTCGATGGAGCTGTCATGGACAGGGCATTTTGGAGGGCTTCCATTCATAGGGCCGCCCTAGTCGGAGACGATTTGATAGCACGTAGCAACAACATGTTTAAAACTTAGGCCTGACCCCAGCTGACCCAGAGGTAGTGCTTCTAACTTAAGAAACTTTGAATAAAATCTTCAAAACTCCAATGATTGAAGAAATGAGTTAGATGAAGCTTTGCATCTCTCATTCTCCCTAAAGTGTTTCAGTTGAGTATTTTTTGACTACCTTTCAAGGCATCTGCTTCACCTGCTCAAGGCAGCACGCAATGACCCAATGCAGATAAACAAAACCAATGTGGTAATAAAAAGGGGTAAAAACAACCATAGCAGGCAACATTCTAAAAAACTACCAAACACCAGGATATAATAAAACTTGCAGCAGAGCACTGCAGCTGCAAGCAACCCAGTCCCATAATAATCTTTTTATTCTTTCTGATGCACAGGATGTAGAAGACCACAGCAAACAGCTGAGGGCTCAAAGGGGGAAGGAGAATAAGATTCCAAGAAGGATTATTTATTTTGCAAATGGCGAATCTATGGAAGAATACAGTACAGAGGAAGAAGATGCAGAGGAGAATAACCATAAGCCACTTTGTGACATGGTGAGATTATTACTTTTTTGGGGGGGCGGGGGGGGTAGACATTATCCCAGGCAGAACTTTGCACCATCTCAGGTCTGCTCTTTCCACAGCAGAAAATGATGCATGCTGGTACATTTGTTGGAAAATCCGGGGGGAAAATGATTTCAATAGAAAATACTAGTTTTGGTACAGTGGTGAACTGTCCCATTCCTTGGAGGGATGAACATTTACTGTCACACTGTGAATGGTATAGTGATGTCCATAGAAGAGTTTCTGTCTTTTCAATGCTGAAGCCTTTTGTCTTTGTTCCACAGGCTAACCTCTCCTGGGGGAGTTACCTGCGATTCTGGGTAGTTCGAATTGCAATGACAACTTTTTTTAGTGAGCTTATATTTTTTATCGTTTTGTCATGGCTGGTAGTTGGTTTGGTATGATTAGAACTATTACTGCATCATTTGTGATTCTGGAAAAACACACAGGCTGTTACTCTGTTGGGAAAGAAATTGGTTAAGGCTCTTCCTCTTGGGTAAGAAGCTCTTTTTGTCTTCTCTCAGCACTGGGGAAGGAAGTCTGTAGGTCATCAGAAAACAAGGCACAAGAGGCATGGAAAGATTCACAAGCTAACATGCCAAATTGCACTTTAGAGATGCTCCTGGAGCCTGTGTCCCAGTGCTGGACGGAGCAGAGGCAAAAGGGGTGGGGCAGAAGTACCAAAACTAATTGCATATTTTAGCCTCTTGCTCCCAATAAGAAAGGCTCAGGATGGGAAAAATTATTATTATAACATTCTCTTTATATTGTGTCTTTTTTGTCTGGTGAGGAACCCAACATGACCTGCATAGTCTTCCTCCACTCCATTTTATCCTCACAACAACCCTGTGAAATAGTCAGATTGCGAGCATTGACTGGCCCAAAGTCACCCAGCGAGCTTCATGGCTGAGCGGGACTAGAATCTGGATCTCCTGGGTCCCCAGTCCAGCACCCTAACCACCATGTCCCACTGGCAGGAATGCCTGGAAAACACGCTGGCTTGGGGAAATGGTTGGTGACTTGGGGAAAGGAGAAGGGGGCACAGCTATTTGGGGAATCAGGAACCTGGGTGCTCTGGATTTGGTTCCCAAGCCTAAGGTTTGGCACCCCGATTTAGGAGTATTGGAGGCACTGATCATTCCCCTTCCCCACATCTCCAGTAATTTACATGTCCTCTGAGCTTAACATTGTTGTTTTTCTTCCCTATTGTTACAGCTTGTGACTTCCTGGGAGGGAAACTGGCCACATTCTTTGGACTCAATGAACCTAAATATCAGTATGCAATCAATGAATACTACAGGATGCAGAAAAAGGTAAACACAGCATAGAAACCTTGTATTCACTGTCAGGGTGAGTGTGTTTCTTCGTGTTGCTTTTAAGACCTGGATGGAAATGTTCTTGTGTTGCACGGCACTGACGTCATGGGTACCACTTTCATCTTTTTGTCTTCGGAGTTTCTCACAGTATGTTTCCAAGCTCCCTTGGAAAACCATCAGGGGGCTTCATGGCCTATTGCCTATTGGCCTGCTGCAGGGCCACAGGGGCTCTTCTTCCCTTACCCGAAAAGCGACTTAAGAACGGGCTGGTGAGCTTGTGGCTCTCCAGACGCTGTTCAGCAGCCAACTCCCATCAGCCCCACCTAGCAGGGGCCGGGGGATGCGGGAAGCTGTGGCCAAATGTCCAGAGAGTGCCTGACGGCTGCTCCGGACATGGTGATCGTTTGAGCAGCCGAGTACAGGGATGGGCCAGATGGCCCTGGGTTCTTATTTCTAGATGTGTTTTGCCCCAAACACACCCATATTACACTCTCCTATCCCATTAGAAGATGCCAAATACGCCCTGAGATGATAGGAGAGAAAGGGATTAAGCGCTCCCCACTGCTTGCTGCATTGGAACTGTAGCTTCACAAGGCTGCTTTTCCATGCAGAATACCAAGCCCTCAGATTCCATTAGGCTCACTTGCATATTTTCTTTTCAATGATTTTGTTCGTTTTGCTGAAATTCACATTACAATGAATGAAAATGTAAGCTGCTATTATTATTATTTTCTACATTTATGTCCCTCCATTCTTCCTCTTGTGAGGAAGCCAAGGTGACTTAAATGTTCTGTTTTATCCTCACGATAACCACCCTGTGAGGTAGATTAACATGAGAGTAAGTGACTGGCTGAAAGTAAGTTATTAGTTAGTTATTTTCTGTGCCATCTAATAACCAACACTCTCTTGTTTGGATCCCCACCCTGGCGTCAGAAAAGAGCCCCCACCTCAGAGCTGGGAGCTGTGCCCTCACTCTACACTGGCATGGAACGCGCTGGCCTGGTTGCTTCTCCAGGGGCATTCAAGTGAGCGCAAGGAAGCAGTTTCAGGGCCACTCCAGGGGCAAGGGGAGCCCTCCACATATCACATCTTCTGGTGGTGCTTCAGCCTCCTTTCCTGTTCTTCCAAAGGCCCACAGAGAGATGGCCAAAGGCAGTCAGTCATCCGACCACCTTGTGGAGCTGCAGGCTCTTCTCTTGTTCTGTACAGGATACAGAATGCTCCTCATTCTCCGAGTTTGGAGGGTTCACCGGATTGTGTCCGAAGTGGCAGCTGCTAGTGCAGGTTCACCACTGGACCAGGTTCTCAAATGCCACTGCTGATGAGAGTCCTCGTTCAATATTTATTTGGCACTGGCATAATCTGTGGCTGGGGAGGGAGGGGGGCGTCCACAGCAATGAACGCCAGAAGGTAGCTATGCTGTGTGTGAAGAAATGCTTCCTTCTGCCTCTCCTTAATTCCCCATCAGTTTAACTGTGGGATAATCCCACATTCTGACAGTGTGAGAAATGGAGAACAGCTCTGTCTATCTACTCCAGATTTTATAAGCCACCGTCATGCAATTCTTATATTGTGTAATAGCCAACCTGTGAGAGAGAAGACATTTTTTTACTGCTTTTGTCAAACTGACCAGGAAATGGTTACAGACCAGTCATACCACCAAACTATTGCATAATTTTGGTTCATGGCCCAGAACAAAGATCTTGTTAAATTACCTCCGTGGAACAAGTTATGCATTTCTTGCTCTGGCAACTTTTCAGAGAATTCAGAGCAAAATAATTCCAACTTCTCAAGATGTTGAGAAACCTCTTACTGATTGCCATGTAAAATAAGTACCTGTTCAAGAGGAAGCTGTTCAAAGACAGGTTCTGGTGTTGTCCTAGAAGATGGGCAGCAACACCGCATCTGTGCATGAAATGCAAACAGCTTGGGAAGTGTGCAGGGTAAGAGAAACCTTTCCAGTTGTGAAATTCTGTGGAGATTGAGTGAACCAGATCCTTTGAAATCTGGTTACTTAGAAGCATTTTGAGATGTTAGCATTGCCCCCCCCCTTCCCCAAGCCCACCTCAAATTGGTATTAGTCATTTGAGAAGTTCCCACAATTGGGCTGTACCCACAGCCCATTTCTTGTACATAGTAGATCAGTAAAGGAGAACTATCTGTACCAGATGCAAACAGGCAAGACTGAATGTGCAGTTAGAAAACTCGACCTGGGAGTCCTCACCTTCCTGCTGCCCCTGTTCAGAAGCTGACCACTTGTTAGAAAGCGAGACTTGATCCTGATGCAAGGACTCTCTGCATGCAATGGAAACCACTGTTTGCATCCACGTGGACCAGCCCTGCTGGCACCCCCCTTGCAGCGCATTGCACGAGGATGAGAGCAAAGTCAAAGCGAGCCTCTTGGCTCTGCCACGTCTGTTGCATCCTTGAGGTTGTCCATGCAGGCCTCCATCTCTGTCCCTTGGAGGGCGAAAGGCAGCATCCGTGGGGAGCCTGTTCTGCTCCTCTAGGCTCTCCTCATAATCTTCCCAATGTTTACAGGTATTGAAGCTGCACATGGTAGGCATGTCGTGAATAGAGCCGGCTGGAGCCAGGGGTCAGACTAGATGTCCCCGGAGACCCCTTCCGACTCGCTCTGTTTCTGTGTTTTCATGTCTAAATGAAAAGAGCAAGCTCCCCCTTGAGGCAGCCATCCTTCTAACAGTACTGCCAACTCCTTGTTGCTGTTGTTTCTCAGGCATAAAGTGCTGGGGTCTTACTCAGGTGAGGATGTCCCTTCATTCTAGCCAAGCTGGATTTGGGGAAATCCAGAAAGTGACTTTCATGGTCCCTTCCTCTTTCTAGCACTCCCCCTCTTCAGTAGAGTCATGCCTGGGGGCTGGAGACCCTGGTGCATGGGTTATGGGGCTCCCCATCACCAACAATGGGATTCCATGACCTCTCATAGCCAACCCACTATGGCTGATTTATGGTGGTCCGCCCTCCCCCTCTTCTCCGGCTCTGGGTAGGTGGGGGCTTGGGTGGACAATAGAGAGAAGGTGAGAAGGTCAATTCATACCTTTGGTTCATACCTTTGAATCTTTTGCTCATGCTAAAAAAAGAAAAGATGGCACACTTATAATTGGTCAGCAAATAGTCACAAAAACGCAAGTTCTTAACTGATTTATTTATTTATTACCGGACTTCAGGTTTTCTCTGTGTGTGCACACAGATGCCAAAAAAAAGTGCATGAATGTTAATCTGCAAAATGACTTTCGATTTTCTGGCCTTCTAATTTATGAAACCAACCCCTGCTATTAAAAATAAATAAATCGAAAACCTTGTAGACAGCATTTGGGGGATGAACTGGATGCACATGAAGTCAATATATATTAGCTTTATGTGACTCACACAAGCCTTTAATGGCATTTAATTGCTTATATGGTTTATCTTTCCCCCTGAAACCAAATTCTTATTGGTTCCTTTTCTCCTTTTATCTGCTATTTTTGGAGGAGTTTAGAGTGCTTGGCATTTTTGTTCTAAATTCACATTGGCCATAAGGAGTGGTATAAATTTAGAAAATAAATAAATAATCCTAGGAACAGTTACGTGGGAGCAAATATCCCTGTATTCTGTGAGTCTTCTCTAAACCTGTGCAGCATGCACTGTAAGTTAGGGGAAATTATAGTTGGGAAGCACAATTTGAATTCTACCCAGAACTATCCAAACTCAGAGGATTCCAAACATCGTGCAGAGGGCAGAAGGATTCCAGGGGCCGAGGCCACTTCTGTGCTTCTCCTATCCTGCAAAAGCCTTAGACAGTTAAAATCAAATCAGATTTGAAAACAAATCCATGGTTTGCCCCAGAGAGGAGGCTGAAGTAGCACTAGGATACTGCGTGTGAGGGCACTGACGGTCTTCTCCCCACCGCACCTGCAGGATGCCACCGAAAGCCAGCCTTGTGCCCTCGGAGCCACAGTCAGTGCTGTTCTTTCCGAGCCATCAGGGATGGAGGAGGAGCAGCGTGCCAAGTTCAAAGCCCGGTGTGGGCCTGGGGGTGGCCGTAGTCTAGTGGCCATAGAAGTGCACTAAAAGGGTTCTAACAGCAGCAGCATTACATACAGCATCTCCAAGAGGATTTTATGCATCCAACAGGATACAGCTGCTTACTAGTATCCCCATATCCACGGGGTTGGGTTCCAAGCCCCCAGCGGATATCTGAAACTGTGGCTAATAGCAGACACGTAGGTACTGTACATGGTACATGGTACATGGACATATCTTTTATCGCAATTACATGGATAGAAGATTAGGTCTTATCATGCATCCTAGTAAGCGCAGCATACCATTTTTTCTTTCCCTATTAAATTGAGAATTTCTACTTAAAGGAAGCACTTTTTGACTTCTCTTGGGCGCTTTATAGCACTCTACAACTTCTCCTTCGGGTCGAGGTCAACCACAGTTAAGCCAAAATGCAGAAGCTGAGCCAGTGGGGATGGGTCCTGCTGTACTAGCATGTCTGCTAATGTGACCCGAGTGGAGATTGTGAGTAAACATCGACAACTACAGAGTATGTGTTAGGCTGAGCAATGTTGTCCACCGGCCAGTCAGCCGGCTGCGTAGTGCCTGTGCGGAGACAACGTGTGTATGAGCACCCAGGCCCTGCGCTGAACTCCGCTGTCAGGCCCTGGCTCCGCACACGGTTCTCCAGGCAACCCCCATGAACCCCCACATGCAACAGTTGACAGTGGCCATTTACGGCACCAGCAAGGCTGACCAGTAATGGTGTTTGCAAAGAAAAGCTTTCAAAAGGTAAGGAGAAACGTTTTCCCACTCTTTCATCCTGTTCCTTTATTGAGAGATGACCAGCGCTGGCTTGGTTTTGTACCATGTATCTTTCATGGTCTGGGATCTGTTTCAGGAAAATGAAAGCGACAGTGATGAAGATGGCGAAGAAATGCAGGAGATGGAGAGGGTTGCTGCATCCAATGAAAAGCAGAGCCTGGAGATACAGAGCCCAAGATATGGTTCCATTAACTGTGGCCACGCCTCAGTCCTTTCTCAGCCAAGCAAGGTTGCAGGTGTTAATTAATGGAGAGGGCCACTGATGGGTCCATTAGAAAATAAGACCAGCCCCACTGGATCAGCCCACTGGACAGTCCAATCCAACAAGTGGCCACTTTTGGAAGCAGAAGAGGAATGCACCCTCCTGTTTGTGCTCACCAGCAACTGATACTCAGAGGCCTACTGACCTTGATACTAGAGATGACATTTAGCCATTGTAACCTGTACTCATTGATATGGATCTAACCCCTTGTTAATCATGAACAACCCATGAAGAAAACCAATGGTTTGTTGTTCAGTTGTAAACTGTGGATTAGTTACCATGTGTTGTTATCTTGGCTGGTTTCAAGCAAGATAATGCATGCTCTAATGGCAACCCAGTGACAACACCAGTCAGCCTTTGACTGTGGTTCCCTGTGCTGTCTGAATGCAGTCGGTGTGATAGGTTCTTTTACCCACGATAAGCCATGGAGAAGGCAAATCTCCAACAGACAAGGAAATACACTAACTTTTTGTGGTGTTTTTTTAAAGCTTCCTTGAAATGTATCACGATTTAATTCTTTTTAGCTGTTGGTAATTTCTTCTGGCATGGATTAAGGCTGGTAAATGGAACACCTACAATCTGATGTCTGTAAGCCTGAATCTAGCAATGAGGTTGTTCTGGAAGTGGCCAGAATATTGGGAGATTGTTAACTTGTTCAGCATCAAGGTGAATCTTAGAGCTGGTGATGCTTCTAACTGAGTAGCAGAGTTTTACCAATGGTAACACTGGAGCAGAAGAATAACCGCCACCCCTAGTTCTGCTCTAATTCTTGCTAAAATAGATTAGGAACATGGGAAGCAATACGATTACCTCCTCCACCACTGAAGTATCCTTAAATTTTGCTGTCTTTAGGTGATTCAGAAATGTATAAAATGCATGAAATGTATAAAATAAGAAACACGTGTGTCCACCTTCTCTCCCTCAAACTGTTTGCTGAAGTGAGCCTATTCATATGAGGAGTATAGAGGGATGCATTTTAACCAGGGCTTGTCTCTTTACCTTTCACCACAAGATGGCGCTGTGTGACAAGCTCCAGTTTTGCCAGCCGTTAAAAATTGCCCAAGAGGTGATGGGGATTGTCATGTTCCTCTGCTAAGAACTGTGAGTGAGAGAGAGAATAGCTGGTTGTGTCTACATAAATGCTGCTTAATGGTGCCCCCTGTTTAGTAGATCTGTAACTGAGTATGATGCCATGATAATTCAATATGAAAATGGCTCTCTTGTTCTCTCTGGCCTGTGTGAATTATCAGTGCCCATGTGATTCCTTTGTGCTCTGCCTGGAGATGCTGCAAAACCAAGGTTGAATCCAATTAAATGGCTAATGTATGTGTTGCATTTCCACATTTCCACCAGCTCCTAAATGCCAGGAAGTTGAAGGTCCAGGCTGCACCCTTAACGGATTCATTGCATGTAATTTGCATATGTGCCCTGTCCTGGGGTGGACAAGCCAAGGCTCACGAGTTGCATGTGGCACTTTGAGTTTCTTTTGTGGCTCACCACTCACCTTGCATAGGTGCCCACGGGCTCCCGCTTGCCACTCTCAAAAACCTGACATTTACCATATGTGCCTCTGCCATTGAGCAAGTCTGGCCACCCCTGGAATGTGCTGTGGTTTGTTCCAGCTGCCTTGGAGCCGGATGGCTGTCAGTGGCCATGAGGGTGGACCTAAGGCCCAGATTGGTCTGGTTACTAGAACAGACGTGTGGAGTTTATGCACCTGGCCAAATAATCCTAGAGTGGAGAAAGGGTGAGGAAGGGACAGAGAGAGATGGGGAGGCTTGCTATTGGTTGCTGGGTTAGGTTTAGGCCCATCGGTGCCTTCCTCTGTCTTCAACCAAAGATGGAACCCTGTGAAAGAAGCCAGGTGGACTTTGGTAGTCGATCAAAGCCTCACGGAGAGGAAATGAGCTCTCTGCTTCTGTGACGCAGTGAGTGCCCTCTGGGCTGCACCATCTCCTGGAGTGTCTGAGGGTGACTTGGCGAGAGCCTCTCAGGGCTGATTTCTTTTCAGTGCAAAGCTATTATTTATACAATTGTTCTTTGGATGTCAAGGTGGAATGGAGGAATGGGTGTGCGGGTTAAGAGTGTGGGGTGGGGACTCAGGTGCTCTGGCTTCTAGCCCTCATTGGCCATGGAGCCAATTGGGTGACTTAGGGCCAATCACAGGCTCTCATCCCAACCTGTCTCACAGGGTTGTTGTTGTGGGGGAAGGATTGAGAACAGGAGCAGGAGAATGATGTAAGCCTCTTTGAGTTCCTTGGGGAAAAGTGGCATATAAATCTAATAAATAAACCTTCCTTGAAGCCACACCTAGAAATGGAGCCATTAAAGGAAAAAACTCAACAAAATTCAAACAGGAATTCCTCCATCTTTATCAGTATTGCCTGACCTGCTGCCCTCCAGTTATGTTAGAGGAAAACTCTTATCTTCCAGCTAGCATAGCCATTGGCTGGGGATGATGGGAGTAGCCCTAACATTAACATGTCTGGAGGACAGCAGGTTAGGGGGGATTTAGCTACAGGAACAGGATTAAATGTAAACTATAGAGGATTGAAAGAGTTATGCTGCAGTCTTGTACACAGTTACCTGGGGGTCAGAATGTGAGTTTTACCCCATATGGAGCAAGGAATGCCTGATGTTCTGCTAAAGTATGAAAGGAAGAGAAGAGGCAGGCAAGATCATATTGCAAATATATGTTGGCTATTGCAGTACATTATTGTTATTCACATATCTATACCACTATACCTGCAGGCTCCCTGGGTGCTTGACAAATTTAAAAGTCATATATACAATTCATAAATACTCATTTTAAATAAACAAGAAGACTGTAAAACAGTGCAACTGGATAATGACCGCAGCAGTTGTAATAATCCGATCAGTCTATGCTTTGTACAAAATGGTAAAGTCTGTGACTGCAAGCCTCATGAGACGTGATGGATGGTCCTGAAAGAAAAGGGTGTCTCAGGACTTGATTGTCTGATGTGAACATAACCTGGACTGTGGACAAGAAGCTACTGTAAGGACAGGAGATGGAGAAACAGAATTGTTTCCTATAGGCAAAGGCACCAGGTAAGGGTGCATTTTATCTTCCTATCTGCTCCATCTGTACACTGATAGTATAAGAAAAGCTGGATTAGAAGCAGAGAAAGCAGGAGTGAAAATTGGTAGAAGATAGTCATTAATATAAGATATGCAGAAGATACCTTATTAGGGCAGAAAGTAGCAATTTACTGGAACAGCTGGTGAATTTGCAAGAAGACAGAGCAAAAGGACTGCAGCTGAACATGAAGAAAATGAAAATCTGGCCTATAGAACTTCATGTTGAGAATGAAGGGACTGAAATTGGGAAAGACATTTCATACTTTGGCTCAATCATCAATGAAGGGAGACTATACCATTGTGGAAGACTAAGGGTTGGAAAGGAAGCAATGAGGGAACTGGACAAGATCATCAAGTGTAAGGAGATTTCGCTGGAGACCAAGGCCAAGATCACCCATATTATTTTATATTGCTGATCACTGTGTATGGGTATAAAAGCTGGACAGTGAAGAAAGCTGACGGGAAGAGAATCAGGGTGTTTGCAATGTGGTCCTGGCTTTGCAAATACTCTGGACCAACAGGAAGATGCACAAGTCCTACATCAAATCAACCCAGAACTTTCCCTGGAAGCAAAAGTGAGAAAACTGAGGCTGTCATACTTTGGACACATCAAGAGAAGGCAAGACTCACTGGAGAAGACAATCATGCTAGGAAAAGTTGAAGGCAAAGAAGAAGGCCAAATCTGAGATGGATTGACTCCATAAAGGAAGCCACAGCTTTGAGTTTACAAGAGCCGTGCAGAGCTGTTAAGGAAAGGTCATTCTGGAGGGATCACCTTTATAAGGTTGCCATTAGTTGGCAACAACCTGATGACACATAACAACAAAGGCTATATGAGAATTCCATTTTGAGGGCAAATTCTCAGTGAATTTTTCCTAGTTCACTCCGGGCAGATTATTTCCACCTTGCTGGCATTAATTCAGTGGGTAGCAAGGCAATATGCAGATTTTCCAGGTTTTCTAATGGTGCCAATCTGTGCAAACTGGATTTTTGTGGAGTGGGGAGAAACATCAACATTTGTGCAACCAAGGTCAGTCTTGTGCAAATGTCACAAGCCTTGGGCTATACTCCACTGTGGAGCACCGCAGAAGTATTTTTCCTTCTAGCATATACCCTTGGCAGTTTCATTGTCCACCTCATTGTAAAGTGAAGGGGGGTGTTGTGGGGGAGTAGTAACAAGTTCTTTAACAACTGTGGAATATGGTTGTGCTGAGCTAAACAAAATAGTGTGTGGAAAGGATGAAATGGACAGGATAGTTACACAAAGGGCAAATGACTCTGTGGGACTAAGTAGCAAGCAAGCAGGCTTGTGATCTTGTGCACAGGATCAAAAGTGTTTTGTAAAAACTGGAGCACAGTCGCATCAGTTCAGAGACATCCTCCATTGCAAATCACGGGACTGGAACAATGCACAAAGCAATTCTAGAGCTGGGGAAAGGCTCCTGCGGTAGTCTGGGGTCACTAATCAGAAGAAAAACACTGTTTACTTCTAAGGGCTTGAACACAACAGAACTCCCTACGTCAAGCAGCTCATCCTGGAAGTAAGGTTGACGTCAATGAGCCTGCATCTGAATAGAGATATAGAAGACTGGTGAAACACTTACTTCTCTTCTGAGTGTCCAGTTCAGAATAATCCCTCGAAAGATAAGGAGCTGCAGGTCTTCTAGTTCTGCGCAATGTGAGGAATGCTGTCAAAATGGTTGAGTATTATCACAGGAGGTGCATCTGCGGTTCGAGGTGAAATAAAGGTGCCAGGAACTTGCTCTGCCTTTCCCATGGACCAGCTTCTGTGCTTGCAAAGCTGCATGCCAATCAGACCCTCTAAAAGGTGAGTCGCCCTCCTGTCAAGGCAGCTAATAATCCCGTAGGAGCCCTGCCAGGGAAATGAAATTTTAAAAGGACAGATCCAGTGCAAGGGCATCGCAGCAATCTGGGAAGACAGATGTTGCTGCTGTGGCGAATGTTGTGAGGCTCCAAGGTTACCGGGGCTGGGAGTCCCTCTGCTTACAAATTCGCTGAGTGAAAGATACACTGGCAAATGTGTGTCTGGAAAATGACATGTTATGCAGTTCCTGTGGGGATTACATTTCTTACGCCAAGCAAGAGAGCAAAAGCTAATTCTTTAACAGAGTCAAGTCTTTGGTCAGAAATATTCTGATCCTCCCTCTGAGTTCTTCTCACTTCTCTTGCAGCGGCATCGGAATACACGCCTGGCGACCACGCGGTGCCTCTGAGAAGAACCGCATTTTATCTGGACTGTGACAAGAACTCAATGTCAGGCACAGTTTGAGAGGGCCCTTCAGCCAGCAAGGGCCCACCCTTGAATACACCCAAGGTTACAGTATGCAAAACCAGTCTGTGTTTTTCAGGAAAAAAGCGGAAATGGCGCTTTTGGTTTAGAACTCAGTTTTACAGTACTCAGTGAGTCATAGCATGGAATACCATATGGTATTTCTCACATAAATAAACTTTTAAAAATTAAACTTTTATATGCCGTCCCTTATGCATGGCATCTCAGGATGGCTTACAATCATTAAAAATAAAACACCCAAATCAATATAATAAATAACAAATGACCAAAAATACAGATTAAATGAGTTAGATAAAAAGTGACTGTTGACTATTAAAATGTTAATTTTTAAAATCACAAGTAAAAAGGTTTATAGGCTGGAAGATCCCTGTTGACAAGTCACTCATGCATTGCCATTGTAGACATACAGCGGTATTTGGAGAACCACCAAATAAACACAGAAAATGACTTCAGGCCATGAACCTATCGGTGGCATTCTGCTTGGTGCTGGAGCTGTTGATCTGGGATTCTAGACCTGAGTTCTAGCATCTCTGCTTACTGGGTGACTCTGGGCCAGTCAGTGATCTCAACCTAACCTACCTCATAGGGTTGTTGGGAAGATAGATAGGAGGAGAAGGATTATTTTAGTCAGCATGAGTTCCTTGGGTCAGGATCTGGTGCTTAAGCATCAGAAGAACCAGCCTGGCAGTTGTAGGATTGGCCCCAGACTGCTGGAGTTTGCAGACCCTTGGTGGGCACCAGCTGGGAGCCCCAGGGGCAGGGCTATGCACGGGCAAGCTCCTCCCGCCAGAAGCCACCTCAGCAACACAGGTCTCCTGAGTGGTGGCGCCTGCACCCTGCCCTACTCCTGAATCCCACCCCCCTGGTTATCC